AACCAGACAAAAAATCAACAAGGATATCCAGGGCTTGAACTCAGACCTGGAGCAAGCAAACCTGATAGACATTTACAGAACTCTCCACCCCAAATCCACAGAATACGCATTCTTCTCAGCACCACATCACACCTACTCTAAAATTGACCACATAATTGGAAGTAAAGCACTGCTCAACAAATGCAAAACAACTGAAATCATAACAAACAGCCTCTCAGACCATAGTGCAATCAAGTTAGAACTCAGAATTCAGAAACAGACCCAGAACCGCACAGCTTCATGGAAACTGAACAACTGGCTCTTGAATGTTGACTGGGTAAACAATGAAATGAAGGCAGAAATAAAGAAGTTCTTCGAAACCAATGAGAACGAAGACACAACGTGCCAGAACCTCTGGGACACATTTAAAGCAGTCTCTAGAGGAAAGTATATAGCAATAAGTGCCCATATGAGGAGAATGGAGAGATCCAAAATTGACACCCTATCGTCAAAATTGAAAGAGCTAGAGGAGCAAGATCAAAAAAACTCAAAACCCAGCAGAAGACAAGAAATAACTAAGATCAGAGCTGAGCTGAAGGAGATTGAAACACGAAAAACCCTTCAAAAAATTAATAAATCCAAGAGCTGGTTTTTTGAAAAGATCAACAAAATAGACAGACCACTAGCCAGACTGATTAAAAATAAAAGAGAGAACAACCAAATAGATGCAATAAAAAATGATAAAGGGGAAATCACCACAGATTCCACAGAAATTCAAACCATCATCAGAGAATATTACAAACAACTCTATGCGCATAAACTAGTAAACCTGGAAGAAATGGATAAATTCCTGGATTCCTGTGTCCTCCCAAGCCTAAACCAGGAGGAAGCTGAAACTATGAATAGACCAATAACAAGGTCTGAAGTTGAGGCAGCAATTAAGAGCCTACCACACAAAAAAAGCCCTGGTCCAGACGGATTCACAGCCGAATTCTACCAGACACACAAGGAGGAGCTGGTACCATTTCTTCTAAAACTATTTCAAACAATACAAAAAGAGGGAATCCTTCCCAAATCATTTTATGAGACCAACATCATTCTGATACCAAAACCCGGCAGAGACCCAACAAGAAAAGAAAACTTCAGGCCAATATCCATGATGAACATAGATGCAAAAATCTTCAATAAAATATTGGCAAGCCGATTGCAACAGCAAATCAAAAAACTTATTCATCATGATCAAGTAGGATTCATCCCAGGGATGCAAGGCTGGTTCAACATACGCAAGTCTATAAACGTAATTCACCACATAAACAGAACCAAAAACAAAAACCACATGATTATCTCAATTGACGCAGAGAAGGCATTTGACAAAATTCAACAGCCCTTTATGCTAAAAACCCTCAATAAACTTGGTATCGATGGAACATATCTCAAAGTAATAAAAGCTATTTATGACAAACCAACAGCCAATATCATACTGAATGGGCAAAAACTGGAAGCATTCCCTTTGAAATCTGGCACTAGACAAGGATGCCCTCTTTCATCACTCCTATTCAATATAGTTCTGGAAGTTCTAGCCACAGCAATCAGGCAAGAAAAAGAAATAAAGGGTATTCAAATAGGAAAGGTGGAAGCCCAATTGTCTCTATTTGCAGACGACATGATAGTATACCTAGAAGACCCCATTGCCTCAGCCCAAAAACTCCTGAAACTAATAAGCAACTTCAGCAAAGTCTCAGGATATAAAATCAATGTGCAAAAATCACAAGCATTCGTCTACACCAATAACAGACTTAAAGAAAGCCAAATCAAGAGCGAACCGCCATTCGCAATTGCTACAAAAAGAATAAAATACCTTGGAATACAACTCACAAGGAACGTAAGAGACCTCTTCAAGGAGAACTACAAACCACTGCTCAACGAAATCAGAGAGGACACAAACAGATGGAGAAACATTCCATGTTCATGGTTAGGAAGAATTAATATCGTGAAAATGGCTATACTGCCCAAAGTAATTTACAGAATCAATGCTATCCCCATCAAGCTACCATTGACTTTCTTCACAGAACTGGAAAAAACCACCATGAACTTCATATGGAACCAAAAGAGAGCCCGCATAGCCAAGTCAATTCTAAGCAAAAAGAACACAGCGGGGGGCATCACACTACCGGATTTCAAACTATACTACAAGGCTACAGTAATCAAAACAGCATGGTACTGGTACCAAAACAGAGATATAGACCAATGGAACAAAACAGAGGCACCGGAGGCAACACAACATACATACAACTATACAATCTTTGATAAACCTGACAAAAACAAGCAATGGGGAAAGAATTCCATGTTTAACAAATGGTGTTGGGAAAACTGGCTAGCCATGTGCAGAAAGCAGAAACTGGACCCCTTCCTGACACCTTACACTAAAATTAACTCCAGATGGATTAAAGACTTAAACATAAGACCTGGCACCATAAAAACCCTAGAAGAAAATCTAGGCAAAACTATCCAGGACATAGGAGTAGGCAAGGACTTCATGAACAAAACACCAAAAGCATTGGCAACAAAAGCCAAAATAGACAAATGGGACCTAATGAAACTCCACAGCTTCTGCACGGCAAAAGAAACAGTCACTAGAGTGGATCGGCAACCAACAGAATGGGAAAAAATTTTCGCAGTCTACCCATCTGACAAAGGGCTGATATCCAGAATTTACGAAGAACTCAAACAGATTTACAGGAAAAAAACAAACAAGTCCATTCAAAAGTGGGCAAAGGATATGAACAGACACTTTACAAAAGAAGACATATATGAGGCCAACAATCATATGAAAAAATGCTCATCGTCACTGGTCATCAGAGAGATGCAAATCAAAACCACATTGAGATACCATCTCACGCCAGTTAGAATGGCGATCATTAAAAAATCTGGAGACAACAGATGCTGGAGAGGATGTGGAGAAAAAGGAACACTTCTACACTGTTGGTGGGAGTGTAAATTAGTTCAACCATTGTGGAAGACAGTGTGGCGATTCCTCAAGGCCTTAGAAATAGAAATTCCATTTGACCCAGCAATCCCATTACTGGGTATATATCCAAAAGACTATAAATCGTTCTACTATAAGGACACATGTACACGAATGTTCATTGCAGCACTGTTTACAATAGCAAAGACCTGGAATCAACCCCAATGCCCATTGATAATAGACTGGATTGGAAAAATGTGGCACATATACACCATGGAATATTATGCAGCAATCAGAAATGATGAGTTTGTGTCGTTTGTAGGGACATGGATGAATCTGGAGAACATCATCCTCAGCAAACTGACACAAGAACAGAAAATGAAACACCGCATATTCTCACTCATAGGCGGGTGATGAAAAATGAGAACACATGGACACAGAAAGGGGAGTACTAAACACTGGGGTCTATTGGGGGAAAAGGGGAGGGCCAGTGGGAGGGGGAGGTGGGGAGGGATAGCCTGGGGAGAAATGCCAAATGTGGGTGAAGGGGAGAAGAAAAGCAAAGCACACTGCCATGTGTGTACCTACGCAACTGTCTTGCATGCTCTGCTCATGTACCCCAAAACCTATAATCCAATAAAAAATTAAAAAAAAAAAGACTTATAGGACACCATTAGCTGAACAAAATTTTATATTATGGAAGTTACAGAAGGAGAAGGGAAAAGACATTAAAAACCTACTTAAAAAAATAAGAGCTGAAAACTTCTCATCTGGGGAAATATATGGACATCCAAATTCAGGAAGCTCAAAGGTTCCCAAACAGGTTCAATACCAAAAGGTCCTCCCTATGCCATTTTTTTTTGTCTTAATTTTTTATTTTAAAAAACTCTATTTTAGAAAAAAGTTATAGGGAAAGTACAATAAACTCCCATCTATCCTTCATCCAGATTCATCATCGTTAACATGTTCACACATTGGCTTTGCTTATCTCCCTCCCCTACGTATCTATTCACACACACAGATATTTTTATTTTGCAGAACTATTTGAAAGTCAGTTGTCAAACTGTAACACCTTACCCTCATATACCTCAGCCCCAATCTCCTAAACACCAGGGCATTCTCCTGTATAACCGAATGCAATTATCATTCTCTTGGGAGTTACAACATTGATCTAAATGGCACTGCATCATAGGTATTTTTTAGCCCCTTATTTTTTCTTTTTCTTTTCTTTTCTTTCTTTTTTTTTTGAGACAGTTTTGCACTGTTACCTGGGCTGGAGTGCAATGGTGTGATCTTGGCTCACTGTAACCTCTGCCTCCTGGGTTCATGTGATTCTCCTGCTCAGCCTCCCGAGTAGCTGGGATTATAGGCACCTGCCACCACACCTGGCTAATTTTATATTTTTTTTAACAGAGATGGGGTTTCTCCATGTTGGTCAAGCTGGTCTTGAACTCCTAGGTTCAAGTGATCCCATTGCATCAGCCTCCCAAAGTGCTGGGATTGTAGGTGTGAGCAAGTGTGCCCAGCCTAGCCACTTACTTTTCTAATGAGCGTTAGACTCTTGGAATTTATTCATGTTAACATGTGGACATCTGAGTTAATTCATTAAATTCTACTATATGACTGTATTTATTTATTTAATACACAGATGTATTAAATACACATACGTTGTTTCTAGTTTATGCTACTGTAAACAATGCAGCAAGGAGTGTTCTTGTTCATGTCCCGTGTGCTCATGTGCAGTAGATTTACTAGGTCATATGTGCACCTTTGATTTTACTAGATTTTGCCCAATCATTCCTCAACATAATATGCAAATTTGTCATTTATTAACATACATTTTCGTCAACACCAGTATTCTTAGTCATTTCATTGTTGTAGCCTGCATTTCTCTGATCCCGCTTCTTTCTTTCAAGGGAAAGCATAGAACACATTTAGCCTTTTCTCTCAGGTTTTCTAGGCATGGGAGAAGAGGACGTGATTTTTGATCCCAAAGAATTCCATGGTGGTGCGCGCTCCTCCGGGAGACAGGGGTCCGTTGGAGAGGTATGGGCTACTCAGGTCCAGGATTATCAGGAAGGGGTACCCAGGGCAGTGGGGTCCTTTAAAGAACGCGCCGTCCTGTGGCCTTCTCACTTCGGCGAAATAGTCCCGCGGCTTCTGGAAAGTGTCCCAGGCAGGCTGCGGTCGCCTCTCCGCCTCCGAGCTGCTGCGCTGGTTGTCCGACTCGTTGACCAGGGACAACTTGACCTCGTCTAGGTCCCGCTGTGCCGAGGCGCTGTCGCTGCTCGGCTCCTGCTCCTCGCCCCCCTCATCCTGGAAGGGGATCAGCTCGTCGTTCGCCCCGAGGTCGTCCCCTCCGCCAGCCGCACCAGCGCTGGGGCCGCCGCCTCCACTGCCTCCACCGCCTCGGAGCTGGGGTATGGTGGGGCCGCTGGCCCGGGCCGCCGATCTCGGAGCCCCTAGCCGCCCGCGCCCTGCCTGGCCCGGCCCGGCGCCCCTCCCGCCTGCTCTCCGGCCCGCTAGCCACCACAACAAAGTTTAACAGGGTGTGGCCCGCGGGAAGCGGTGCGGGCGGCTCGGCTCTGCCCCTCAGGCAGCGCCGAGCCTAGGGCTCCCCAACTTGCCGCTGCCGCCTGCTCCGCCGGGGCGTCCCAGCCCCTGGCCCGCCGGGGAAGGGCTAGCCCTCCCTAAGCCATTATAGTCAAACTGTCAAAACTCAAATATATAGAAATCTAAAAAAAGCAAAAAAAAAAAAAAAAAGTATCAACTCAAATATAAGGGAATCCCCATTAGAATAACAGCATATTTCTCCACAGAAACCTTACAGGTCAGGAGAGAGTGGGATGGTATATTCAAAGTGTTGAAAAAGGGAAAATTGCCAGCAAAGGATACGATGCCTAGAAAAGCTATCCTTCAGAAATGAGGGAGAAATAAAGTCGAGGGGGAGGGGCAGGCAAATAAAGAAAGAAAGTCTTTCCCAGACAAGAAAACGAGAGAATTTATCATTACCAGACCAGCCTTAAAAGAAATTCTCAAGGGAGTCCTATATCTAGAGGTGAAAAGACAACAAGCATTATCATTGGAAACAAGAAAAAGTATAAAACTCACTGGTAGAGCAGATAAACAAATAAGAAAAAGAATCAAATTTAGCACTACAGGAAACCACCACATGAGAATGATAATAAGAAAGGAACAAAGAATACACAAAACAACTAAAAAAGAATTAACAAAAATGACAGAAATAAGTTCTCACCTATCAATAATAATCTTGAATGTAAATGGATTTAATTCTCCACTTATAAAATGTAGATTGGCTGAATGGATTTTTGAAAAAATAACCCAACCATATGCTGCCTATGAGGAGCTCACTTCACCTGTAAAAACATGTATAGACTGAAAATGAAGAAATGAAAAAAGACATTCCACAAAAACAGAAACCACAAGTGAGCAGAACCATCTAACTTTTATCAGATAAAACTGATATTAAGTCAAAAGCAGTAAAAAGAGACAAAAGTTCATTATATAGTGATAAAGTGATCAATTCATCAAGAGAATGTAACAATTCTAAATATTATCTATGTACCCAATATCAGAGTACCCATACATAAAAATCAAATATTACTAGATCTAAAGGGAGACATAGACTTCAGTAAAATAGTTGCAGGCTTCAACACAACATTCTCAGCATTAAACTGATCACCTAGATAGACATTAAACAAAGAATGAATTTAAAGTGCACTTCAGAACAGATGGACCTAAGAGACATTTATAGAGCATTACATCCAACAGCTACAGAATACACGTTCTGTTCATGAGTAAATAGTACGTTCTCCAGGATGGAACATGTGATTTGGCCATAAAACAAGGCTCAGCAAATTTAAAAGAGCTAAAATCATATCAAGTATCTCTTCTGATCAAAAGGAATAAGACTAGAAATCAATAAAAAAAATTTCAAAATAATACAAATATACAGAAATTAAACAACATGCTCCTGAATGACTAGGTCTATAGAGAAATTAGGAAAGAAAAGTTTAAAATGTTTGAGACAAATAACAAAAGAAACACAACATACAAAAACCTATATGCCAGACGTGGTGGCTCACACCTGTAATCCCAGCACTTTGGGAGGCTGAGGCAGGTGGATAACATGAGATATGAGGTCAGGAGTTCGAAACCAGCCTGCCAAATATGATGAAACCCCATCTCTACTTAAAAAAAAAAAAAAAAAATAGCTGGGCATGGTGGCAGATGCCTATAATCCCAGCTACTTGGGAGGCTGGAGCAAGGAGAATTGCTTGAACCCAGAAGGCAGAGGTTGCAGTGAGCTGAGATTGTGCCACTGCACTCCAATCTGGGTGACAAGAGTGAAATTCTGTCTCAAAACAAAACAAACTCTATGAGATACAGCTAAAACAATATATATTTTTCTTTTTTAAATATTTTATTGTGTTTTAGGTTTGGGGGTACATGTGAAGAACATGCAGGATTGTTGCATAGGTACATACATGGCAATGTGGTTTGCTGCCTTCCTCCTATCACCTTTATCTGGCATTTGCCCAAATGTTATCCCTCCCCAACTCCCCACTCCCTCCTCTTCCTTCCCTAGTTCCCCTCCACAGACCTCAGTGTGTGATGCTCCCCTCCCTGTGTCCATGTGTTCTCATTGTTCAACACCTGCCTATGAGTGAGAACATGCAGTGTTTGATTTTCTGTTGTGTCAGAGAATTTCAATATTGCTGTGTCTCAGGAAATAGATAGGCCTAAGGAGAGGGAGAGGGATGGGGGAACAGGTGGTCAGTGGAGCAGTCAGAACACATACAACATTTATCGATACATTTGCTATCTTATATGGGTATGGTTTGTGGTATCTGAAAAAAATTACAATAGTAACATCAAAGATCACTGATCACGACATTATAACAAAAGTAATAATAATGAAAAAGTTTGAAATATGAGAATTACAAAAGTGTGACACAGAGACATGAAGTGAGAATATACCTTTGGAAAAATGGTGCCAACAGAGTTGCTCAACATAGGGTAACCACCGGCCCTTACTTTGCAAAAACGCAATAACTGTGAAGTGCAATACAGTGAAGCACAATAATGATGTATGCCCTACATTGACAGGCATCTTACAGAACAGAAACAAACATGGTTAATAATATAGAAAAAGTGCTCAACCTTATTTGTAATTAGGAAGAATGCAATTTAAAAGCACAAGAAAAGTATAAATTAAAATCACAGCAAGACTGCACCCAACATACTGCCAATAATTAACAAGTTTGATAATATCAATTGTAGATGAGAATGTGGAGCAACGGCAACTTTCAAACACCGCCTACTGTAAAGCACATTGAGGCTGGGTGCAGTGGCTCACGCCTGTAATCCCAACACTTCGGGAGGCTGAGGTGGAAGGATTGTTTGAGGCTAGGAGTTTGAAACCAGCCTGGGCAACAGAGCAGGACCTATCTCTACAAAGCAAAACATAAGGTAATGTAATGTAGCATAACAAACATTAATACAACCAACACATTTGACATTATCTAGCAGAGTTCAGCAAATGTATATACTGTTACCAGTCCACTCCTACATATGTTAAACTCTTGTACATACTGTGAAACATGCAGAATAATGTCTTTGGCAAAATCACTTATAAGTACAAAAAAGTAGAAACAGCTAATAGATGAGATTATAGTATATTGATAAAATGTAATAGCATATGGCAATGAAAACAAACTAAATCTATATGCATCAAAATGAATAAATTGAATTAGCAAGTCAGATGAAAATTCAGAGTATAATTCAAAATTTATAAAGCTCAAAAACAAGAAAATGTAGTAATACATACAGATGTATGAGAATGTATCTTGAATACTAAATTCAAGATACTGGCTAAATATGGGAGCCCTTAGGGGTCTGCAATCTGGGAGAGGCACACAGGGAACTCAAAAGGTATTGGGATTGCGTCATGTTTTTGAGATAGAATCTTGCTCTGTCACCCAGGTTGGAGGGCAGTGGTGTGATATCAGTTCACTGCAACCTCTGCCTCACAGGCTCAAGTGATTCTCATGCTTCAGCCTCCCCAGTAGCTGGGATTACAGGCGTGCACCACAATGCCCAGCTAATTTTGGTATTTTTAGTAGAGATGGGGTTTCATCATGTTGGCCAGATTGGCCTCAAACTCCTGGCCTTAAGTGGTCTGTCCACCTTCGCCTTCCAAAGTGCTGGGATTAAAGGCATGAGCCACCATGCCTGGTCATAGATTTAAAGCTGAGTGGCAAGTTCATGAAATTATTCATTATGTATACACACTATATTCACTTTTTGTAGGCATGACCATTCAAAAGAAAATGAAAAAAATAACCAAAATCCTATATTTCATAGTAAGAGTAACCTGCAGATCAATTCAATGGCTGACATGGCTTTGTTATTTCTAGCCAGATTGTTCAGGAGGAGGATGTAGAGATTTGTGAATACACTCAGGATGATCTGTTACTTCAAATTCTTCTACCTTCTTTGTATTTTCTCTATCGGCAGGGTGGCATTATTTACTTATCTTTCAAGCTGGGACTCAAGAGTGAAAGTGGGTGCTATTAATAATCGTGAATATATCTGGTGTAAAAACACCACTGTTCTAGGCAAAATACAATGCTGATCACTTAAAAAATCTTCCGTGGCCAGGTGTGGTGGCTCACACCTGTAATCTCAGCACTTTGGGAAGCCGAGGTGGGAGGATCGCTTGTTGTGCACAAGCATAACTTATTGTACATAAGAGATGTGCATCAGTTTCCATTCCTCAAGGACTGTATGAATTTGGCTCTTAAGAAGCCAAGGAGTAATGTGTGCATCAGGCCCAGGGCTGAAGAGTTGCTTCTCTCACCAGATACCTTTTCTTAGCCTGGCTGCTGTATCCAACCGTATCCAGGGTTAGCTTTGTTCCTCCTCCTTGGATCTGTGTTTCTCTTTTTGCTCTGTCTCTCCTCATCTCCCAGTCCAAACATCCAAAGAAGTTAATGACCTCTGCCCCTAATTGAACAAAGCCCTTCATCTAAGGCCACCCTTAGGTTGGCAGCCTTAGCCAGACATCTGCTTCTCGTCAAATCAATGTCTTGCACACAGGGATGCCCAGTGCTATTTCTAGTTTTAGCTGGATGCAGGGTGTCAGACATGGCAGATACCATGGTCTACCTGGTGAGTATCAAAGAGTTGATTTCCGTTCTCTCAAGCACCTAATAGGTCCCAAACACATAAAGCCAGTAGTAATGAAGTTTGCAGTTCCATTTCAGAAACCAATGAAAAACCCCAAAGAGACAGTGTCCAACATAAAAGAGCAGCCATAAAAATATACAGTTAAACATATTTAATAGAAATATTAAAATAATCATTACACTTCCTCTCATTGATGAAACCATGAAGAATATGCCTTTTGTAATCAAAGTAATAATTTTTTACCATGCAAAAAGGTATTTTTGTTATGACATTCATGAGTAGAGACTATATTTCAAAACAAGTTTATACAGACTTCAAAAGGCCTAAAGTCAAAGAGAAAGTGAAATATATTTAAATATGATTAGTTACATTGTATGCAGCTGGCATACTCATATTCATAGTTTATAAAGCAAAAAAACTAAACTGTTCATGTCAGCTCTGAAATAGATGCATTTTCATTAATATATTCACTAGTTAGGTCTGTTCTTCTAAGACAGGAGGAAAGACAGATAAGAGATATTTTTTAAAGAACAAACTCAATATATCAGCAGCAAATTTCAGTTAAACTAAATTGGAAACCAATGTTCTGTGTAACCAAAGTGCAAAGTCAGTTCTCCAGCTCAGAATGAAAATTAGAGTATAAACTGAAGGCTTGAGAGAACTTCAGAGGGCATACTGTGTGGTGATTTATTAACACAAATATTAAAATACAATTATCAAATTTTTGATTTAAAAACAACACAATTTTGATTTAGTCATTAAAACATATGCAGAGGCATCAAAGGCAAGGAACACAACTACCTGAAGTTATTCAGAGGAACTGGGAAGATGTAGCACTGACCTCTAAGGTGTCTTTCTAAAATCCCTTCTGATGGAAAGCTTACAGAACAACACTATCTGCCAAAACACTGGAAGCACCAGTTTCATATTTAGATACAATGCTGAGTAATACAGTCACTGTTGTGACATGTTTTCATTTGGGAAAATGGAGAGGATTCTCAAAACAGACTCATGGCTTGCATGTAGTGACACCATACCAAGAGCCCGGAGAGACACCATGAAATCACCCCAACTCAAGTGATGGGCCCACCTATTCACAGTCAGTGTTACAGTAGCCAGCTCCAGTGCTCTGACAACATGAGTTTTAAGATAACATACTTTAGAGAAAAAAAGAACAGATTATTTTATAGCAAATAACTAAATTGTATTTTAACTTATCATCATAATTAACTGCAGCATATTTACTTCATAGCCCCTTAATAAACATGTCACTTTTACCAATAAAGCTTTTTCCTTCATATTCTAATCATCAAAATTTCTCAACAATTTATAACAACAATCTGCAAATCTGACCTTGCAATAAACAGTCTTGAAACATTATTCTAACTTTATTACTATTATTAATTTTAGAGACAAGGTCTTGCTCTGTTGCTTGAGCTGCAGTGCAGTGGTACGATCACAGCTCATTAGCCTCAAGCAATCCTCCAGCCTCAGCCTCCCAAAGTGCTGGAATTACAGGCATGAACCACCACACCTGGCCTTAAAACATTATTTTTAAAGCCTAAATTCCACTTGGTATGTACCAAAATTTAGTTTAACTTCAAAATTTACAGTACTGCTGAGAAATGGGCGGGTCCTGAGGTTCCAGAGAAATGGGGAGTGAAATCATTCCTGGTGTTTTTATTCTGGCAGCATGCATGGGAGATCACATGAGTTAGAGGGTTGTGGCTTGGTATCAATACTTCAAGCTGTTGTACTTTTAATTCAAGTTGAAACTTTTAAAAGACATCTGTCACATAGATGTACAAATATATGTAGATGCAAACATATATACACACTTTTTGACAAAAGAATGATAGTAATATACATGAACCACTTTTGTAAATAGATTCTATTTGGTTAATAAAAATTTTCTTTCCATCAGTCTATCGAAGTCCAGACCAACTATGAAGATAGGATGCCCATCCAGAAGAACGGGAAGCATTTTCTTCCTCACCTTTGGAAAGTAAAAAAAAAAAAGTATTAAATTTTCTCAATGTAAAAACCTGTATTTTAGAACCACTCTACAATATAAACAAATGTCTTTTTTTAACTGATGACATGCCTTATTTTTTGGGGGCAGGGGGTGGGGTTGAGACAGGGTCTTGCTCTGTCACCTTGGCTGGAGTGCAGCAGTGTGATCAGACTTCAATGTAGCCTTGATCTCCCAGGCTCAAGTGATTCTCCCACCTCAGCCTTCCAAGTAACTGAGACCACAAGGTGTGTGCCACCATGCCTGGGCAATTTTTTTTTTTTTTTTTGGAGAGATGCAGGTCTCACTGTTTTATAGGCTGGTCTCAAACTCCTGGGCTCAAGTGATCCTCCCACTTCGGCTTCCCAAACTGTTGGGATTATAGTCATAAGCCATTGCATCCAGTCATATATCATTCTTTAGACACATTATTTAGTATTCTAAATTTCTCTTTTTAAAGGCTATTCTGAATTTCCTGTTGAGCCAATTTAACAGCTACTTTTATATTTTAGCTTTAAAACATCGATAAGCAACATGAAGCAATCTAGAACTTAACCTTTGAATGGCTTTATTAAAGAAATCCAGCAATGGAAATTATGTAGAAATGATTCTCTACAAACAATCTTACCAGCATATAAGAAATACTTCTATTCTGAAATATCATCTTCTCACAATATACTCTGATGTTATGAATCATCTATTCTTGAACATTATTTACTGTCTTTCTCTATTAAACAATCTCAAAGTAAAGTTTCCAGCACAACTAAATATTGTTGACAATAAGAGGACTTTTTTTTAAACAGAGGCTTATATACAACTTAGAATCTAAAACCCAATAGATTTATGGTAAACATTAAAGCCAAACCAAAACAAAGAGAAAAAAAAGTTGTAATCATTTAAAAATCACTTAAAAATCATGTTTATTGAGTTCAATTTACTTACAGTAAAATCAACCCTTTTCAGCATATAGCACTGAGTCTTGACAAATGCAGTTATGCACCACCACTGACCAAGGCCTGCCACATTTTCACCTTCTCAAAGTTCTCCCTGGCTTCTTCTCCCCCTCCTTGGCAACCACTAATCTGTTTTCTGTTCTTGCAGTTCTGCTTTTTCAGAATGTCATATAAGTAGAATCACACTGTAAATAGTCTTTTGAGTCTGACTTCTGTCACCTGGCATAATGAATTTGAGAATCATCCATGTTGCTGTACTGGCAGTGCATTCTCTTTTATTGATGAGCAGTATTCAGTTGCATGGCTGTACCAGTTTTTCGTTTACTACTTGAAGGATAACTGAGAAGTTCCCAGTTTTTAGCAATTTTAAAGAAAGTTTCTATGAATAATTGTGTACAGGTTTTTAATTAAATGTTTTGGAGATATAATTCATACATCACATAATTCACCTTTTTAAACTGCACAATTCACTGGTTTTAAATATATTCACAAGGTTTGCGCACAGGTTTTTGTGTGAATCCTAGTTTTCATTCCTCTTGGATAAAGAGATTTCATTTGGTATATCCCTTCTAGACACCTTTCTGTGTTTTCATGCTTATGTATGTACCACAGTTTGATAACAGGCAGAGAAGCATTTTCAAAATTTTATATGGGGAAACTCTTTCTAGAGTTAAAGCCATTTTGATTTATTTTTCTGTTCTGATTTTATCTGTGTATTATTTACAATCTGCTTCATAACAAATTACTACAAACTTAGTACCTTAAAACAAAACATGCTTGTTATTTCACAGTTTCCGTGGGTCAGGAGATCAGAAACGATTCTGTTTCAAGGTCTCTCTCAGGGCTGCAACCGAGATGTTGGCAAGGCTGGGATCTCATCTGAAGGCTAGACTGGAAAAGAATCTACTTCCAAACCTATGTGTTAGTTGGAATACTTTAGTTCCTCAAGGCTGCTAGACCGATGGGCTGTTCCTTGCCTATGGGCCTCCCTGGTATGGTAGCTTGCTTCATCAAAGTGTGTAAGCACAGAAGGCAGAGAAAGTCTGCTAGCAAGATAGAAGCCACAATCTCTTGTGATCTATATCTATCATTTTGCTGTATTCTACTAGGTTAAATATAAGTCATTTGGTTAGCCTACTGGCCCTCAAGGGGAGGGTATCATACAAAGGCATGGATTTCTGGAGGAGTGAATGAGGGCAAAGACTTCTGAGAAGTCTGTCTTCCACAATCTGCATGAAGAACTTCTAGAAAGTGGGAGGAAGAGATATTGCTTAGGAATGAACAACTGGGCACTGGTTATATGTTCCAAGTGAGATAGTCTTATTCCCAAGAATAAAGAGAACCAGATGACTATAAACATTTCTCTTAACTGAAATGCAGACTGTTGTATGTTCACCTGAAATGAATAGTATAATCTGGTATAAGACTTTTGATAAAATAAAAATTTTGCTGTATTCTCAGATCTGCAAGACAATGTACAGAACAATGTTCCCGACAGCTATTCATCTCCTTAGGTAAATAAGAATTGGGAGAAAAGCTGTGCTGAGATAGGGTACATTTGCTCTTGCCCCGAGAGGTTGTTTTCTGATAAGATTCTATATCCTCTGCAAATCAAATCAGGAACTTACAGTGAGTATGCCTTCTCTTCCTGCCAGTCTGGAGATGATAAAACATCTCTATGACAGGCTTGGCCTGTTTTCTTACTGGGTTGTTGGGCTTTTTTCCCCCTTTATTTACTTGTAGAGAGTTTTAGATCTCTGTGTATGTATGGTGTACAAGTGACAATATTCAGATCTGTAAACTATAACCTAGTTTAAGAGTAAAGAAGATTTAGAAAAACAACTTTTACTTCCTGTTTGAGTAGTAAAATTGAGATTCCAATTTTGCATATAGAAGTACTTTATGGCTAACTTATTCCAGGAGCAGAGCTGACTTACCATAAGTCTATCTCAAACAGAAATGAAACACTCAATTTGTGAGCTATGATGATGATTTTTAATGTGTGTGGGGCAGGGTGAATTAACATTTGTGATGCAAGCAGGGGAGCAATCTATACTCAGCAGTGTCTATTTGACATTAATTGTTTGAAGACTACTGCTACACTCTAAGTCATTTTACCTTATAACACAGATTGTAACAGGCTATTCTGAGCAGCTCATGCCATCTGCTTGAAATTTAAGTTGGGCCCCTAATATGTGTTTATTTTAAGGAGTTTGATGGTGCTTTTCAAAGTTGACTAACCTACTTTAACCCCTAAGCTAATGTTTCCCAAATATATCCAAACCCACAGAAAGGAAAACTTTTCTCCCTAAACTTACAGTCAACATCATAAACATTTTATATCTAGAGCTGATGATATAGTCAGGTATTTACCAACACTCATGCATATATCTAGAGTTTCAAGAAATAATTGCTTACCCTTACTAGATTCAACATATTCTAATGTTTGGCATATTATTTTTATTTCTTTTCTTTTTTTAAAGATGGGTTTTACTCTGTTGCCCAGGCTGAAATGCAGTGGCATGACCAGGCTTTTGACCAGAAGTTTGACTGCAGCCTTGAATTCCTGTGCCCAAGCAATCCTGCTGCTTTAGCCCCGTGAGTAGCTAGGGCTACAGGCACATGCCACCATAACTGGCATATTTAAAAAATTTTGTACACACAGGATCTTGTCATGTTACCCAGGCTGATTTTGAACTCCTGGCCTCAAGCAATCCTCCAGCCTTGTCTTCCCAAACTGTTAAGATTATAGGTGTGAGTCACTGAGCCCAGCTTGTATTGTTTTGATTTTTAAAAACTATTCTGAATGTGATCCACCAAATTAATTTCACCATCCACTAATAGGTAGCAGCCTGAATGAAAAATACTGTGTGTGTGTGTGTGGTTTTTTTTTTGACACCCAGTCTCGCTCTGTTGCCAGGTTGGAGTGCAGTGGCACAATCTCGGCTCACTGCAACCTCTGACTCCCTGGTTTAAGCAATTCTCCTGCCTCAGCCTCCTGAGTAGCTGGGACTACAGGCATGTACTACCATGCCCAGCTAATTTTTGTATTTTTAGTAGAGACAGGGTTTCACCATGTTGGCCAGAATGGTCTTGATCTCTTGACCCTGTGATCTGCCCACCTCGGTCTCCCAAAGTGCTGGGATTACAGGCGTGAGCCACCACGCACAGCCGAAAAATACTGTTATAAACTTTACACAAAACCAGAGATTATAAACATTTGCCTCTAAGGAAATGAAAGAGGTAAGAGGTACTTGTTTGCTCTGATGGGCTCTGTTTCCTTCAGTGCCAGGAAGAGTGGCTCTCAGACCTTTCTTCTGGCATCCCTCATACCCCATATATGCAGTATTGGTTATTATTTTCAAGGCCTTGGTAACAAAATGAATGCCCCTGGTGTGACCAGTCAGGCTGACAGTCCGCATCTGTAAAATGGTGGTAAGTTTCCTTTGCATGTCTCTCTTTCTTATCTCGGACTTTTTACCTAGGACATTTTCTCCTGAAGTATATCATTGAGAATTTTCAACGAAGGCGAATTCTTGAAGTTTTTGTTTTTCAGAAAAGATCTTGGAAAATATAAAAGGTTGACAGTTACTTTTTTTTAGTACATTGGATAGTATTAAACCAATGCTGTTGAGAAGTCTAGTGTGAGGCAATGTGTCTTCTTTCTCTGGCTACTTTTGAGATTTCTCTCTGCCTTGTTTATTAGGGGCAGTTTTACTTTTATGTGACTAGAAGTAGATTTCTTCTTTTTTTTTAAATACTACTTGAGATTTTAATGGGTTTCTGAATCTGTGGATAGATATTCCTCAACAGTTCTGAACGATTTCTAGCCATTCTCTTCATATATTATCTGTGTTCCATTCTTTTCTCTCCTTGTTTTAGAACTTCAATTAGTAAAAACAGGTTTGATGTCTTTAATTCTATTCTCTATGTCTTTTCCCACTTTTGTTTCTTCTTTTTGTTTCTCCCCTGCTGAATTGTGTAAATTCTTCTGAACTATCTTCCAGTTTACATTCTCTCTATATCTAAATCTGCTGCTAAACCATCATTGTTTTTGATTGTTATAACGTCTTTTTATTTACTCTCATTGGTAAGGGACGAGTAGTAAATAATATTTAAAGGGCAAACTAATTTAAATTTAAGTATTTTCCTGTATGTTTACAGAACTTATCAAATGCACATCTTAGAGTTCTGAGTTTCTAATGTATATATCCTCTATGAAATTCTTTGAAAATATCTCTGTTATTGGTATTCCTTAGGTTAGTCTCTTTTAGAACTTCTAATCAATGGACCCTCAATTTATAGGAGCCACCTGGGGGTCAGCAACATTTCTATTACATTAAACATACTGAGCTTTTAAAAGAGGACTGTTAGACATGCTAAGTATTTTGAGATAATATTGTTCTATTAAAAACTATGCTTTAATTTAAAAACACAAACATTCCTCAGGTCCTGGTTTATAACTATAAAATTAAGTTTAGCTTTATTAGGATAAATTAAAAATAGTGAATCTGTAATTTGCAAATTTGTAATTTGAGTAACTATTTACTAAAAATATACATGATGTATTCTTATTTGGGCTCTTGTGACAAAAATACTATTGTGGCTACAGAAGATTATCGTTTGAAGAAATAAGTTTACTCAGCATTGAGAACATTCCTCCTTCATCTAGAAAGATTATAAAAAAATAGATTCAAAATACTATCAAAACTACTTATGAAGTACGTGTGTAAAAAAATTAAGCCCGAATCTTATCAGGCCTCTAGATCAGGGGTTATCAAGGTATGGGCCCCAGAGCAGAAGTATCAGCCTTAAATTGTGAAAAATGCAAAATCTTGGATCAGAAACTGAGGTCCAGCGATTGGAATTTTAGTAAGTATACCACCAGATGATTCAGACACCTGCTCAATTTTGAGGATGATTCTATCAGCTTAGTTATTAAATTTTACAGGGGATAGGAGAACATGTTAAAGAGCACCAACTAGATAAGGTCAATCAGTCAAAAGTAAGATGTCCAGCCATTCTGGGCCTTCTGATGACTTGTAAAGCACACAATGATGCACTGTGTTCCCCATCCCACCCAACTGCAACTAAATTTTACTATAGGCAACTGGAACAAGTTCAATGTTAGCCTGTAATGATTAATATTACCAGAATATAGGCCGGGCATGGTGGCTCAAGCCTGTAATCCCAGCACTTTGGGAGGCTGAGGTGGGTGGATCACGAGATCAAGAGATCGAGACCATCCTGGTCAACATGGTGACACCCCATCTCTACTAAAAATACAAAAAATTAGCTGGGCATGGTGGCGCGTGCCTGTAATCCCAGCTACTCAGGAGGCTGAGGCAGGAGAATTGCCTGAACCCAGGAGGCGGAGGTTGCGGTGAGCCGAGATTGCGCCATTGCACTCCAGCCTGGATAACAAGAGCGAAACTCCATCTCAAAAAAAAAAAAACAACCAGAATATAGGACTGCAATAGCATAAATGACCAGTTTCTTCAATAAGTGACACATTATAGATGTAATTGTTATAGATAAAAAACAACAAAACAAAGCTTACAGAAACATCAACCAAATGCAATATATGAGCCCTATTTTGGATACTATAAAAAGACATCCATAATAACCCATGAACGATGAACATAAACTGGGTATAGGTGACAGAGAAATCCAATAAACACTGAATTATTCATTAAGAAAAAGAAATGATGTGGGGATTTGTTTTAAAGTCTCTAGCACTCTCCTACTTGTGCCAAAAGATTGCCCATGAGTTGAAAACTGTTAGAGATGGGTGACAGCTTCAAGAGAGATTACAGTGTCCTTCCTGTATGCTTGAAAATGTCAACGAAAGTAATTTACAACTAAAAAATGAAACCATAATTCTTAAAATATAGTTTGAATTCAGTTAACTACAGCAGCTGTATGAGAAGCATTTCAAAAGAATTTATGACACCACAGTATTAAATCCATTTCACATGGAAACCTGAACTCCAACTATGGGATAGTTTTAAAGCTGCATTTGCCTAGAAAGTAGATTGCTGTATACAGACCAAGTGTTGGGCTATCTGACTCCACTGCCTTAGGCTATTTGGGATTGGAAGGAAGAGGGGTGAAGGAGAAAAGGAAAAAGCTAATACACGTTTTTTAAAAAGTAGAATTTAAAACAAAATCACATTCATCTGAACACTAGAACTCAACACCAGGATACAAATCCAATTTTCAAAGAGCCAGAAGATCAAACTAAACACTGTATTGTATTTTGCTGAATGTTAAAATTATATAAATGTACCATAGTTGCCTTAAGATGTTAAAAAGTCAGCTTTTCAAATCTAGTCACAGCCTACTCATTGATAGACCCAATCCAAATGAACAAAATTTAAAAGTCACACATACAAATTGTCAACCACAAGGCTGCTTAGTTTAAGTTTTAAGTCAGAAGTTCTAAGACTTTCCTTTTACCTACCTTGAGCAATTGCAGCAAGTTTTCCCTTTTCTTCAGGGCTGAGCTGCAACATTGTATTTATAACAGGAAGAAGTCTTTCTCTTTCACTACCTGGTTTCAAGAAAATGAACTGTAGCAAGACATTTTTCAAGTATTCCAGGTTAGCTGCAGACTTCTCTCGCTCTTGATTCCTTTCCAATCTTCTTATTTCACTTTTGAGAAGCTGGTGTTAAATGAGTTAAAAATGGAGCTTCTGATTAAATATGGCAGACTGAACTCATGCATTTTTCTTCTTCTCCCCCTAAACTCCCCTCCCCCCAAAATGGCAATAAAGGAGGGAATTCAGTTAACTACAACAGCTATATGTAGCATTTGAAGCGTTTCAAAGGAGTTTATGACATTCCAGTATTAAATCCATTTAACATGAAAACCTCAACTCCAACTATGGGATAGTTTTAAAGCTGCATTTGCCTAGAAAATGGATTGCTGCATATGGAACAAGTGTTGAGCTATATGACTTCATTGTCCTAGGCTATTTGGCATTGGAGGAGGAAGAGAGGTGAAGCAGAAAAGGACAAGCTAATAAAAGAGGAGAAAACATAGATGAGACACATCAAGAAATTCTGACAAGATGAGAAACAGATGAAGAGGTGGAAATGAGTCAGTCCAGCAGCTTACCAAGTATCACTGACAAGAGGACAGGATACATCCTGGGTAAATACTGGGGTTCTTGCCTCAGAAGCACAGGGTATCTTGGAAATTGAAAGCTGGGGAACTGACGGAAAGTCTCCAACTAACTGGAGCCATGGGATGGTACCAAGATGTTCCCTCTGCCTTCTACTATCTATAGAAATTGAGCCAGTATGTCATGGGGCTCTAATAATGGCTGAAAGGAACGTTTGTAGCCTCTACTAATCCCTTGCCCCAACCTGTTCCTAAAGCCCCAAGCAGTTAGGTTTACTGGGCTAGTGATTTGTTACATATGATAATGCTTTTATTAGTGGGAAAATGTTATTTTGTAGAGATGCATACTGAAGTATTTAGTGGTGGAATGTCATGATATTTAAAATTTACTGAAAATAACTGAATAATTCAGCTTTAAAATAATCTGACAAGGACAGCTAGTGGCCATGCACAGTGGAAAGACAGATCTATTCAGAGCAGCAAAGTACAGGGGCAAAAGCATGTACTTTTCAGACAGCTATGAGTCTGAATTTTGTTCCATCATTTATCAGCTTCTATTTTTCTCTCAACCAGTGATTATAAGATTAAATAATATATGCAAAGCCCAGGGCCTGGGTCATGAGAACTGCTCAATAAGCAGTATGACTATATTCTGAGCAGTGATTTATCAGTGAGCCAGGGTGGAAATATCTCGTTTGAGTAATCCTCAACTGCTCTGCAACATTCCTAGATGTTTCTGGTGTCTACTTTAAATAGGAAAAACTTCCATTGCCACTTTGCCATCTCCACCTGAAAACTTGTTTAGTAGTTTAGCACCATAAATATCAGCTAAATGATTTGAATTCAGTTTATCCTTAGAATTCAAAGACTCACGCTCATTTAAGTTTTATTTAAGCGTATGTGGAACAATGACTTATGAACCTCTCTCTAGCTTCTAAATCTATTACAGCTTCTTAGAAAAGGTAGGAATTAAGAAATAATCTTTGTGTAATAGGTATAAAAGCAATATTTCTCACCATCAGGAATCTAATATAAAGAATCAAGACATTATGGATGCATTTGCAATGTGGATTTTTAAACTTGGGTGCATGTGTACAGAGGGTCAAGAAAACCAAACTGCGATTTTCATGGTGGCCAGGTTTTCTGATCTCACCTTTATCTGCTCCATAAGGATTGCATTGGTTGCTTCCGTTTCCCGAAGCAGGCCGTTTAAGTGATCGGCACTTTTTGTGGTGGAACTGAGCTTCTGAACCAATTCCTCTTTGGTAAATTCAGCATGCCATAATGGAGGCTCTGCAAGAAGTTCCAAGAATTAATTTTCAAAATCACAGATTATGAAGATTCTAAATAAGAAAACATCTAAATATAAATATTTTACCCTCTGATATTTTATAGTCTGCTTTCTTTGCCATTCATCTATTCAACATACCTCAATAAACAGATTACATGTTGTAGGTGACACAAATAAAACAGTATCTCTGTTGGAAAGCATGTAATCTAACTGAATATAAGCCCTGTGAGTCCCAGGTCTGAAATCTGTCAGAACTGTGTTTGAAGACAGTTTCACTACGTATCATCTTCCCATCCATTAATATCTCAAGGCTTTGTCATTTCATTTATAAATGAGGAAAGCATTAACATTTACTGATCACATATCATGGACCTTCATAAAAATCTTCTATCATTCAAACTTTATAGACGATGAAACAGGCTCACAGGTGACAGGTAAAAAACAGAGTCAGATCAGCTTCTGGAGTCTGCTACCGCTCTATCCTGATGCCTCCATGTCACCATTATTAACTTTGCCTGAAGGAATCATGACTTGCAGTTTCTACCCCACATGGTCAGTGACCATGAAGACAAATGACCCATACTCCAGGTGATCCTGAAGCTTCAGGAAGATGACAGATTCCCCTTGAATTATGAACATTAATATTGATTAAAAGTAAAAATTAAATATACCAAAACATCACTAAAAAAATTTAGTATTACTTCATCAAGAGGAATAAATGGAAACTTTCAGTTTCCTGGAAGGGTGAGAGGATAGTTTATCCTGCTTTCTAACACTCACCAGCTATTTGTGGCTATAAACTTCCTACCATTTATTTATGGTTCAAGCCTAGGGCAAGAGCTAGCATTTTATTTTGAAAAGATTTGTTTCGTAATTTTTCCATTGGAACAATGTGATGGTTAATACTGAGTGTCAACTTGACTGGATTGAAGGATGCGAAGTACTGATCCTGAGTGTGTCTGTGAGGGTGTTGCCAAAGGAGATTAACCTTTGAGTCAGTGGGCTGGGGAAGGCAGACCCGCCCTTAATCTGGTGGGTACCATCGAATCAGCTGCCAGCAAATATAAAGCAGGCAGAAAAACATGAAAAGGCAAGACTGGCCTAGCCTCCCAGCCTACATCTGTCTCCTGTGCTGGATGCTTCCTGCCCTCGAACAAAGACTCTTAGTTCTTTAGTTTTGGAACTTGGGCTGGCTCCCGTTGCTTCTCAGCCTGTAGATGGCCTATCGTGGGACCTTGTGATCAGTAAGTTAATACTTTAAAACATCCATCCATCCATTCAATTAGTTCTATCCCTCTAGAAAACCCTAATACAAATAGGTAGTGGAATACTGAAAGAAATTTTATTGGAGTAGCCCAAAAAAGCACATATGTAACTTAGAATAATAATAATAAGACAGTGAAATTAAGTAAACATATTTAGACAGAGTAACATACCAAGTTTAGTTTCGGGAGAATTAAGCAGCTGCTCTAAAGACTGTGTGTATGTGCTGGCGGAAGACACAGACTCAGTATCAGTTGTCTCCATGCCTTCTCCCTCTTCCCGGGTTACAGTGTGCATGTCTAGAAGTGGGAGGTCTGTGTTTCTCCTTTCTCGAAGGTTCTTCAAAGATTGTTGGGAGGCAACTGGACCTATTAGATTTTTTTTGAAGGTTAAGTGTGAAATTGTTCAAAATCTATTGATTCAGAATTAACAGAGATATAAAATAAAATGAAAATATCAAATGATAGAGTAGAGAAATTAAGTATCTAGAAGACAAGTGAAAGGTGTATGAAGAATTGCTAAAATATTTCTTAAAATTTAGTTGTCAAACTTTTAACTACATAAGTCATTTTAGCAGAAGCTATAAATTGCTAGTAGGTAAGATAAATGGTTAGATAACATAGCTCATGATAGTACTTATTTTTTTTTTAATTAATTTAGAGTAAAGGGCCAAACTGTGCTAAATACAATTTAAAAACTAGATTCTAGCAATTTTTTGGAATTAGGTATTTCAGAGTGTTGCATACTTTTTGAAACAACACACTTGCTGAAATCTGCTCGGCAGACATTCTCGATGACTGCCCTTATACCTTTATCTCTGTGGCTTCTTAATTGTTGCTGCTCATACCTACAGTGTTCATACAATAAGAGCCCAGAATCCAGAGCATGGAACTAATCAATTATATGGTCTGGCAAGGCTTTCCTGTTTGCTGATGAAGTGTAAAGTTTTTTGTTTTGTTTTTATTTTCCTGAGACAGGGTCTCACTTTGTCACACAGGCTGGAATGCAGTGACACAATCTCAGCTCACTGTAACCTCTGCCTCCCAGGCTCAAGCCATCCTTACACCTCAGCCTCCCAAGTAGCTAAGACTACAGGTGTATGCCATCCTGCCTGGCTAATTTTTGTATTTTTAGTAGAGATGGGGTTTTACCATGTTGCCCAGACTGGTCTCAAACTCCTGGCCTCATGTGATCTACCCACCTTGGCCTCCCAAAGTGCTGAGATTACAGGTGTAAGCCACCATGCCCACTCTAAACAGTAGTTTATAAAGCCTTTTGGGGTCATTAGTTTATTGACCCCAAAAAATCTGAAGTCCAGAGAAATTTAATACTTTGCCCAAGCTCTCATAGTTGAGTTAGAAACCAGAATTGTAAACTAGATTTTTTTTTTCTTTTTTGAGACACAGTCTTGTTCTGTCACCAGGTGCTGGAGTGCAGTGGTGCGATCTTGGCTCACTGCAACCTCTGCCTCCCAGGTTCAAGCATTTCTTCTGCCTCAGCCTCTCGAGTAGGTGGGACTACAGGCACACGCCACATACCCAGCTAATTTTTTAGTAGAGATGGGGTTTCACCATGTTGGTCAGGATGGTCTCAATCTCTTGACCTGGTGATCCGCCCACCTCGTTCTTACAAAGTGCTGGGATTACAGGTGTGAGCCACCGCGCCCGGCCATAAACTAGATTTTTAAACTTCAGATTTCATTTATTTTGCATTTAATGAGGTTTCCTTAGTCCTGACTACCCTTTCTAAAGCATTTTCCTGGGTTTCTGAAAAGCTGAATGCTTATTCCACCGCTGATTCCTAGATTACAATTTCTTGCGTGACCTTTGCCCCGGCTGATTACTTCCTTTGTTGATTCGTTAGCATGTATTAAATTCTCCTGAGGTTGCTTTCTGACCCCCAACAAGTGACCCATAGCTGCCAATGCTCCAGGGACAGTATTTCCCATGGAAAACCTAAACACCATCAACTTGCTACTAAAATATAGCACCATCATGGCTGCCACTTTTCCACCTCTTCCTGAAAGAAGAATGAAAGATACTGGGTGTGGCTGAACTAAAACTCCAACTAGGTGTAAATGTGAAAGTAAAGAAGCTGTATTGGCCAAGCAATTCTATATATTCAGTGCCACCTGAGTGTTTCTAAGCTCCTTGCTCCACCTCCAATGTATTTATTTAAAAAACAGACATATTTGATGACTAACAATGGAGAACACCAAACTAAACTGGTGAATACTAGAATTAAGGTGTGTCATGAGACTGACAGACTATGTTTAAGTCAGAGAAAAAGAAATATTCCTTTCCACTGAGGGTACAAAATACATCAAAGTCAGTATTCTAAGAGGTTATACAGGGTTCTAGAAATATAATCAAGAAGGAAGGATTCACATGGTTCAAATATCTTCCTAGTAAGCAAATCCAAATTTCATTCATCACAGAATTGACACTGGTGTCACCTAGTAAATTTTCTCCTTTTTTTTAAATGAATTTGTAAAGTATGTATTTAAGAGGCATAAATATATGAAAACATGAACAACTAATATTTCCATGGGTACATACATACTTCTTGTGGTTGGTTCATTCTTAAGCTGGAAGAGCTGTGCTTCCACCTTGGAGAGCTGCTGCTGTAATGTCTCCATTGTCTTTCTGTGCTCTTCCTGCAAATGTCGCACTTGATCTCGGAAGCTATTTCGAAGAATCTCGTTCTGGGATGTTAGCTGACTCACAGTCTGTGCATGTTCAGACTTCATCATCATGTTCTCTGATTGTATTGAACACAACCTGAAAGGTGAGAAACAGTTCACAGAAGATCTCTCAACTTTTGCTAACTTAGCCTTTCTCAACTGTGTTCTTCTGTAAGAGAATTAGCTCTAAGTCCTCTATTGATTGTATGAATTCTCTCCTCTCCTGCATACCTATACTGTACTTGTTGTGTAATAACTTGATAAGAACTGACACTGGCTGTCATGTAGTTCAAATTATCTGTGTTCCATATTTTGGATGAAGAACCCCAGTTGAGAAACTGTGTGTGTCGTCCAGACTAGGAACTTCTTTCATGGTTCATTAGAAAATAGGACTATATTTAGGGCATAAAATAATTATACTTTTTTTTTTTGAGACGGAGTTTCGCTCTTGTTACCCAGGCTGGAGTGCAATCGCGCAATATCGGCTCACCACAACCTCCGCCTCCTGGGTTCAGGCAATTCTCCTGCCTCAGCCTCCTGAGTAGCTGGGATTACAGGCACGCGCCACCATGCCCAGCTAATTTTTTGTATTTTTAGTAGAGACAGGGTGTCACCATGTTGACCAGGACGGTCTCGATCTCTTGACCTCTTGATCCACCCACCACAGCCTCCCAAAGTGCTGGGATTACAGGCTTGAGCCACCGTGCCCGGCCAATAATTATACTTTTAATTAGTCCACTTCTTCATGTCACTGTATGTGGTAGCTCAAATAAATAAGATTAACCTCCCTTTTCTCTACTGCCTTGAAAACAAACAAACAAAAACAAAACAAAACAGAAAAAAAAACCCCACAGTCTTGATATACTCAGAAAACTTCAGAGGAAAGTATCCATTTTTGAGTAAAGTAACTGAACCACAAACACAGACTTGGTTTACTCTAGCTGTTTCAAATTTCACTGCACATGAGAATCATTCATGTACCTTGTCAAAAAACAGAGATATCCAGTTTTCATTTAAACCCACTAACTCAGGATCTCCAGTAATGATTCTGGGAATTCCCTACTTTTAGCAGTTTCAATGTGATTTTTAGGTACTCAGCCTGAAACTTACCAGTGGGCCTACAATTTGGGAACCATCACTTTTAATGGTTTACTTGTAGTTTTCATGTTTTATATGTTTGGCTTCAGTTAAACAACAACAACCCATTTCCTTTTATACCAGAGATCCACAGAATTCTCTCATAAAAATTAAAAAAATGCAAAAGCCATGAGAAAAAAAAAGTATTTTTAGTAGAGACAAGGTTTCACCATAGTGACCAGGATGGTCTCGATCTCTTGACCTTATGATTCACCCGCCTCGGCCTGCCAAAGTGCTGGGATTACAGGCGTGAGCCACCGTGCCCGGCCCGTGAATTTTTTTTTTTTTGAGACGGAGTTTCGCTTTTGTTACCCAGGCAGGAGTGCAATGGCACCATCTCAGCTCACCACAACCTCCGCCTCCTGGGTTCAAGCAATTCTCCCGCCTCAGCCTCCCAAGTAGCTGGGACTACAGGCACGCCCCACCATGCCCAGCTAATTTTTGTATTTTTAGTAGAGACGGGGTTTCACCACCTTGACCAGGATGGTCTCGATCTCTCGACCTCGTGATCCACCCGCCTCGGCCTCCCAAAGTGCTGGGATTACAGGCGTGAGCCACTGCGCCCGGCCCCGTAAATTATTTTCAATGCTAATTGCTCATTAATGTGATATTGTCAGGACGTATGTTGCAAAAGTAATTCTAGATTGTGAGTTCAAAAGTAATTCTACTAGATTGTGAGTTCAAAAGTAATTTTACTAGATTGTGAGTTCCATGAGAACTAAGAGCAGGAAAGTAACTATCTGAAGTATCTACTTCAAGTTTCAACCAAGTAAACAATGCAGTTCCTGCTCTTAGCTCTCATGGAACTCACAATCTAGTAGAATTACTTTTGCAACATACGTCCTGACAATATCACATAAATGAGCAATTAGCATTGAAAATAATTTACGGGGCCGGCGCGGTGGCTCACGCCTATAATCCCAGCACTTTGGGAGGCCGAGGCGGGTGGATCACGAGGTCGAGAGATCGAGACCATCCTGGTCAATGTGGTGAAACCCCGTCTCTACTAAAAATACAAAAATTAGCTGGGCATGGTGGCGCGCGCCTGTAGTACCAGCAAGTGGGGAGGCTGAGGCGGGAGAATTGCTTGAACCCAGGACGTGGAGGTTGTGGTGAGCCGAGATTGCGCCATTGCACTCCAGCCTGGGTAACAAGAGCGAAACTCCGTCTCAAAAAAAAAAAAAAAAAATTCACGGGCCGGGAGCGGTGGCTCACGCCCGTAATCTCAACACTTTGGGAGGCCAAGGTGGGTGGATCACAAGGTCAAGAGATCGAGACCGAGTCCTGGTCAACATGGTGAAACCCTGTCTCTACTAAAAATACAAAAAATTAGCTGGGCATGGTGGTGTGTGCCTGTAATCCCAGCTACTCGAGAGGCTGAGGTGGGAGAATTGCCTGAACCCAGGAGGCGGAGGTTGCGGTGAGCTGAGATTGTGCCATTGCACTCCAGCCTGGGTAACAGGAGCGAAACTCCGTCTCAAAAAAAAAAAAAAATTAGCTGGGCACGGTGGCGTGTGCCTGTAATCCCAGCTAGGAGAATTGTCTGAACCCAGGAGGCGGAGGTTGCGGTGAGCCGAGATTGCGCCATTGCACTCCAGCCTGGGTAACAAGAACGAAACTCCGTCTCAAAAAACAAAACAAAACAAAACAAAAAAAACTAAAAGCCCCTCATTAATTATTCTCATGCCTGGCAGGATAAAATCCCAATTCCACAGGTAGATAAACCTTGTTAACAGTTTAGCCTATACTTTTCCAAGAGATTTTTTTCTACTTGCTACACATATGCACACCATATAAGGTTTAAAACAGGGTTTAGTGGCTGAAGGGAGAAATGCAATAAAAACACCATGTTTCAGAAAAGAAATCTTAATTACTAAGTTCATAATGATTAACGAGTCTAGAAATATATACACATTTCTGTGCAAGCATTTTGTTCAAACAATATCTACCAAGAAACTAAAGGAAGAACCATTGGTAGTCACAAAAATAGTCTACGCAGGATAAAAATTAGAGGAGGGTAAAGTGTCTAGTTTTCAGGCATTATCACTGACATTTCTGAATTTACCTACTTGAAAGCTAAATGCTTAAATCCCCATCTGGAATCAGAATGACTGTGCTGATAGTTTACTGTTCTGTCTCAGTTGCTAATGAGGTGTTTATATTAACTGTAGTCTCTATGGTAATACAGATACTAGTTAGCCTAATTAACACATTCCTCTGGAACCATTTTCACAATCTGAAGTATGAATATTAAAATATTTTTAAAAGTGGAGACTAAAGAGAAGGCTATTTGTTCATACTTGGGCACAGACAGTAACAATACCATTAGTTTTTAATATTTCTGAAGAAGAGGAAAGACTCCTAAAGATAACTTAAAATGCTATGAAAAGTGACTGGCACATAGTAGGTGCTCAAAAAACAGTTATTGAAAGATTGAATTACTTTAGAAAAATCAACTGTGCTTTATTTGTTATTAGCAATGTAGTTTGCAATAACTTTCCTAAAGAATTAGTGTTGGAGAATATCAAGCAAACATCACCATATATAAGATACTCTCATTGTAAACTCTGGTGATAGGCAGTTAGAAAACTCGTACAACTTCCCTGAAACTTTTGGTTTATGTGATTAACATGCAAATTACACTGTTAACAGACAGAAGTCACAAAAAGCTAAGTACTTTCACTTTTCAGATTAGCATAAGATTAGATACATATTACATAAGCAAATCTGTGATAAAAGTATCTTAACACCCTTGATCAAAGATGCTCAATGAATAATTCTTTTCCTCAGCCTAATAGTCCTAACTACTCAATTTATCACAGGAGTTGAAAATTTCTTGCTTTACCAGTACTCCTAACATCTATTAAAAGTATTATAGTGATGAACAAAATATGACAAGTTGAAGACAGAATTGCAGATAAGATGCGTTTTCTTTTTCAGTTAGCAGCTATTTGGATGTTTCCTTCTAGAAAAAAAAATGCTTATGATTTAACACCTGAGTTGGTAAGTAGTATGTTTTTGTTTTTTTTAGAGAAACATCCTAGCCAAGAAGGCTATAGGAAAGGCAGAATATTGGATGAGAAGACAAACATTAATTGTTCTTAAAAATACAAAATACAAAAGCAATGTAAAAGGCGAAGCTCTACGGTAGATAAAGCAAAGTTACCAAGCCTTTAGAAATGTTTATTTTTTTTTTATTTTCTAATCTGCATTTATCTCAAGGAGCAACATATTAGAAGTTTCAACAAAGAAATACATTGTTGTCTGGCACAGTGTTAGCACTGCTAACAATCTTACTTTTCCCGAAGTTCTGCCTCTTTGGACACAGTTTCCTGCAGCATCTTGTTGTGCCTTTCCAGCAGTGTATCATGTTCAGACTGTAATGTTTGAAGTTCAGATACATTAATCTGTAAGTTATTTTGGCTATCTTGCAGTTTGATTTTTAGTTGGTCGATCAGCATTTCCAGATGTTCCCTAAAAAAAAATACACAGTTTTAAAAATTTTTGAAAAAGGTGAATCTGATTATGTGGTTTTAAATATAGTTTAACCATTTAATCTTTCAACGCCATACTGTTGAATGATTCTAAAGGAAATGTAATATTCATAAGAATTCAAGACTAGGATTAAACAGAGCACAGAAGATATTATAGCCAGATTTTAAATCTTAGGCATTATAGATTTACAAAAAATGTCTCCAAAATTTAGAATTTCATATTCAAATAGAGCATTAAGTGGCATCAAAATAGCCTATTTTATGTTACAGGGCTATGTCAGTTAAAAAACAAACAAAACACCTCACCCTCAACCTTTTTTTTTTTTTTTTGAGATGGGAGTTTGGCTCTGTTGCCCAGACTGGAGTGCGGTGACGCAATCTTGGCTCACTGCAACCTCTGCCTCGCAGGTTCAGGCGATTCTCCTGCCTCAGCCTCCTGAGTAGCTGGAACTATAGGCACACACCACCAGGTTCAACTAATTTTTTATTTTTAGTAGAAATAGGGTTTCACCATGTTGGCCAGGTTGGTCTTGAACTCCTGACCTCAGATGATCCACCAGCTTTGGATTCCCAAAGTGCTGGGATTACAGGTGTGAACCACTACACCCAGCATACTCACACGGTTCTTAAATTGTTATAAGAATGGTATGTCAGACCAAATTACAGTGAAAGATAATTCCTAAAGAAAAGCAGGTCTTTTCTTCATGACTTGGAAAAAAAATCTAGGTAGAAATAGTTAAAATCCTAATTCTGCTACAATGAGTACAATACCCTATCAGTTTCTTTTTAAAAAAATGTATTTATAAGAAAGTAGAAGGAACACAAAGGATTTACATTAAAATAATTTGAACTCAAAATTTAGGCATGGTCAAAAATGGCTTTTGCAAATGGTGACATTTTTATATTTATTAAATCTATCAATATCTAGTTTCCCCTTCATATAATGAGCTACTGGAGAGAAAATACTATGTTTCAATCTATAGTCTCTATATTTAAGATTTCTAAATGAAAGTAACAGAAACATAAACATACAAAAATTGCAGAATAATTAGTCTTGTTTAGAACAGTAAGAGCCAGATATAATCTAGACCAAAATTCAGTACTAAATTTAAAATTTTTTGAAATAAGCAAAATACTTTAAAGCAACTTGTTTATTCTAATTAATAGCAGATAAGTATACTCAGCATTTTTATTATTTTACTTCTCTAAATTTTCAAAATTGGAAAAACGAATCATAACATAATTTTAATGCCCGTATTTCTACTATGACAAGATCTTATTAAGACAAAACTGAACTGTTAGCTTATATCTCATATCCTGGCTTTGCAGGTGCACTTTAACATCTAATTTTAGAGTCTGCGACAGTGTCCTTTTTAATGAAGTTCAGTGAAGCCAAGAAATTCTATTCTCCTTGGTAACAATATACATAATTCCACAGTTAAAAATCATAATAGAATTTTAAGCTGGGTGTGGTGGCTCACACCTGTAATCCCAGCACTCTGGAGAGGCCAAGGCAGGTGGATCATCTGAGGTCAAGAGTTTGAGACCAGCCTGGCCAGTATGGTGAAACCCCATCTCTACTAAAAATATGAAAATTAGCTGGGCGTGGTGGTGTGCAGCTGTAATCCCCACTACTCAGGAGGCTAAGGCATGGGAATATATTGAACCCAGGAGGCAGAGGTAGCAGTGAGCCGATATTTTGCCACTAGACTCCAGCCTGGACAATGAGAGCAAAACTGTCTCAAAAAAAATCTTAATAGGATTTTTCAATCTACTTGGTGAAGAACCTGCATTGTGGGAGGAAAACTCTACATATTTAATTTAGATTTTACCTTTCTTGTTTAGCTCCCTCAGTTTCAGCCTGAGACACAGATTTATTTTTCTGTTGTTTTAGAACATTATGAACTCGGACTTTGTAGCTCTCAAATTCAGAGGTTATAGTAGCTTGTTCTGCCTACAGCATTCAAAAGAGAGAAAAATTTTCTGTTGTAACAAGGTCCTTCAATTTTCTTTCAGAGATTAACAAATTGAGATGAAAACCTGTTTTCGAAATGAGAAAAATAGCTGACATTCTTTTTGGTTTCTCGATTAACTTTGCTAAAAAGTATACTTCTGTTGGCCTTACACTTAAAACAATTTTTTTAATTGATAAATAACTGTACATATTTATGGGGTACATGTGATATTTTGATGGATGCATACAATGTGTAATAAGCAAATCAGGTTAATTAGGATATCTACTGTCTCAAACATCATGTTTTTGAGTTGGGAAGCCATATGCTTTTTAAAGGCCTTGCAATAATATAATTTTTTTTTGATAAGAGATCTGTTTCTACCATATCTTCTACCCTGTAGCTTAATTTACCAACCATACATTTTTTTAGTGGCACTATGTGCTTTTGGGACTTTATAATAAAGATTTTCTTTTATGATATCCCCTCTTTTTATAAATTTGAGAAAAATTAACTCAAGGAATTAAGTTATTTGAACTTTGGTTTTCAAAATAGGGTGGTAAATGTTAAGTTCTAGGTCTTCCAGTTTCTTGAAGTGATCTGTAAATTCCCACAACAGTGTTGCCATGATTGCTTAGATAATACCTGCATCTAACACAACCACTGCACTGTGTCTGTTTTGGATATTGATGACAAGAAAGTAGGGCCCCCAAAGCCATCCTATGAAAATGTTATAATCATTTAGCCCTCAGAAAGAACTGTCACACTGTTTTAATAATAAAAACTTTTATAAATAAGTGACTTTCTTATATAACTAAACTGCAAAACAAGGTTGAAATGGAAAAAACCTGTTTTTTCTTTTAGCAAAAAAAGTGATCCAAGTTACAATTAGGGTTGGCATGGGACTGGGGTTAGAGCCAGATTAACTGAATGAGGTTTTAATCTAGGAAGTGCTCTTAACAGCAAAATACTTAAAAGGTAGAGCACTGCCCTGGAGTAAACCACGGACTAGACAATAATAAAATCCTGGTGGCTTGCTGTGCCTTCCCTGAAGAACACACCTTGGCAGTCCGGCTCTCTTCCTGCAGCGCTGTCACTCTCTGCTGGTACGCACTTAGCGTGCGCTGGTGCTGTTCTGCAGAGGTTTTCAGGTGCTCATGGATTTTGTGTTTCTCTGATGTTATTTCAGCCAGCTGTATCTGGGGGTAAATCTTTAAATTTAGCTCTAGCAAATCATACCATCACTAAAGAGGTTTTTCTTACAACACAAACTTTAGGTTTAAGACATAAGTATACATAAGGCATAATTACTGAAATATTTTTATGTATTATTGAAAAAGTACAAAAAGTAGAGACAATTAAGAACATTTTCGGCCTGGCGCGGTGGCTCAAGCCTGTAATCCCAGCACTCTGGGAGGCCGAGGCGGGTGGATCACGAGGTTAAGAGATTGAGACCATCCTGGTCAACATGGTGAAACCCCGTCTCTACTAAAAATATAAAAAATTAGCTGGGCACGGTGGCGCGTGCCTGTAATCCCAGCTACTCAGGAGGCTGAGGCAGGAGAATTGCCTGAACCCGGGAGGCGGAGGTTGCAGTGAGCCGAGATTGCGCCATTGCACTCCAGCCTGGGTAAGGAGCAAAACTCCGTCTCAAAAAAAAAAAAAAAAAAAGAACATTTTCTCACTAAAATATCTTTTCTTAAACCAACACTAATCAAAAAAATTTTTTAAAAATCCCAGACTATTTAACATACAATGTTTAAATACTTCAAGACATTATATATTTAAAAAATACAAATAGCAAACATATAAAATCATTTTATAAACTTTCTTGTGACTGCAATATCATTCAGAAAGTTCAGATACATGCTTATTTTATTTTGCACTATTCTATAGTGTATTACGAATTTCCAAATATACGAAAATAATCTAGCTTGAGCTAAACAATATTCTCATTATATGCTAGACTTGATTTATTGTTGCAACTTCCTCAAAATGTTGAGAAATCTTTCTAAAATTCCTTATAGAATAAATCCTTGTCTCTAAATGGTATCTCACTTCTACACACACAAAAATTTTTTTTTAACTTTAAAAAGTAAAAAGAACCTTACTTTATAGACTTCTATTTGCTGCTGGCTTGCCTCCAGCTCACCTTTTAAAGATGCTTGAAGTATTAAGTGATCAGTTTCCTAAAGAACAAGAATCTTGGTTAGATTTTTAAAAATATTACTCATAAACTATGAACAAGTGCTACAATATGAAACTGAAAAATAACGTACTGCTTGCTTTGAATCTGCCAGTTCTTTTTTGGTTTTCACAAGCAATTGCTTGATTTTGGTGTTTTTTTCTTCATACTGTTGTACTAAGGCCTGTAACGAAGCTAGTACAAGAAATAATTTCAGCAGAAAAAGATGAAAAAATTTTTATGAGTGAATTAAATACACAAATGATGAGTGTCTTATTTGTATTGGCTTACCTTTAAAAGAAACCTGTTTTAGACTTCTATTATGGAATATTTCAACATGTGAAAATAGTGATAACAATAAAATCAATTCTACTGTACCCATCTCCCAGTTTTAACAATTACAACCCATAGACAATCTTATTTAATCCAGATCAGAAAACAGCAAGGTATTTAAGAAATGTTAAAGTGAATAAATGTGGACTATAAACATCTTAATGGCAAATGGTTTTACACCCATTCTGATCGCTAGTAACATGTATCACTGTGTTAAACACCTAACTGGCAGTTAAAGTCTGGTGAAATAAACAACTAATGCCCCCGCCCAATGAAGTTGTTATGATGAAATAATTGTAAGGTAAAGTTAATTTTCTTTAACTCACTTATTTCTTCTTGTAAGGTTTCTTGTTTCTGTTTTTGAATTTTTATTTCTTGCTCCAAATCGTCTATCTTGTTGTTTTTATTAGTTAACTTTTGATTTAGTTCTTTCATCAAACGTTCATAATCAGCTATTTCCATATTCATCAATGTGGTTTGTTGGGCATCCTGCACATTTTATAAATAAAAGATTCACATAATACTAGATCAGTTATTTGTAAAATTGCTAAAATGATGCCACAGGAATAAACAGGTGCTTTTCTGTAATACTGAAATAATTTACATTGTAACAAAGAAATAGATTGGATATTTTCTAGATTTTAATTTCACAAAATATTTTCTAATACTTTAACCCAATTTTCTTAGTTTCAGTTGATTTCATTATAACTGTAACTACAACTGGCAGTTCTATCATGTGGAACTCTTATTTATAAAAGAATATTTAAAATGGCTCTTATAGTACATTTCTTTTTAGCCTAATCTTTGAAGGAGTAAAGTCAGCCAAAGTTTTAATACAAATTTCAAGCTTTTACATTAATTATATCTTAATCTGTCTTACAATAATCATATATACAAAATGAAATGCCAAACCAAATCTTATAACCCTAGATTCTTTTGAAAGGACTGGTAGAGAAGTTAAATTTTCAATTTTTTGAGCAAGCAATTTATAAAGCATTATTTTAGTACCACAAGTAACATTCTAAAATATTTTTCAACATGCACAGAATAGTTTAACAATGCAGGCTGGGTGCGGTGGCTCTCACACCTGTAATCCCAGCACTTTGGATCTTGAGAGCTTGTTTGGAAGTTCTAGCAGGGGAGTGCAGCTATTCATATACCCTTAACCAAAGACCAGTTCTCCTCTGTTGGGGATGGTCGTCCTCTTCGACTGAGTGAGCAGCTTTGGGAGGGAGGCACATGGAGTGGTGAGGGAGGAAGGGGACACCCGCCTAACCAGCCAGATCAGCCGAATCAACGCTGGTGGTCAATGGGGTGACATATGTCGCAGTCAGATCGCCCTCAGATCCAATTCCAACACTTGGGAGGCCAAGGTGGGCAGATCATTTGAGGTCAGGAGTTCAGGTGAGCCTGACCAGAATGGTGAAACCCTGTCTCTACTAAAAATACAAAAAATTAGCCAGGCGTCGTGGTGCAAGCCTGGAATCTCAGCTACTCAGGAGGCTGAGGCAGGATAATTGCTTGAACCCAGGAGGCGGAGGTTGCAGAGAGCCAAGATCACACCACTGCATCCAGCCTGGGCCACAGAGCGACATCGTTTCAAACAAAAGAAGACAAAGTGAATATTGATATCACTTTTGAACCTAGTGTTTTACTTTACCTTTTTAACCAGCTCTAATTCTTGCATGGTTTTCTGCAGCTGTTTCTTTTCCTTTTGAAGTTGTATCCGAAGTTCTTCAAGTTCATTTACAGCAGTGGCATGTTCCTGAAATTAAAAATAAAAACAAATCACACAACCCAATCAACATTAAATAGGTATTTGTGGGGGATCGACTCAAGATGGTGCGGTGAGAACAACCCAGGATTGAAGCTCTCAGTGAACGCACGGAGGGTGAGTCTGGGCCGCATTTCCAGACGGATCTTTGTTGCCCACAGAACGGGGAAATTCCCAGGTATAAAAGAGATGCGGGACACCAGCACAGTGGTTTTGGCTGGTGTAGCTGGTGGCCGGCGGCTGGCGCTACAGCGCAGCGGCGCTCCACAGCGCTCCGCACAAAGCGCACTCATCCAGGTGCCCTGTTTAACTGGCAATCTGAGACTTGAGAGGGCAGATTGGCATATCCATCTGATTGAACGGGACTTGAACAGTGAGCCAGCCAGGAGATTTCAGGGAAACGGCGCTTGGGCCAGCGCAGTGGGACAAACAAAATGGCGATTCCAAACACTCCGGGTGGAGAGTTTCAATGCGGGCACAGCTGACCCCAGGACGGTGAAGCTCGGTGGGGGAGGGGCGTCCGCCATTACCGAGGCTATCCGCCCCTACTGAGGTTACACTCCCATTGATGACGCAGCCTGCTGTTGCCGAGGCAACCCACCACAACAGAGAGACTAAGCCGCAGGGCGTAGCCCGTGGCAGCAGGGCGGAGACCGCAGCAGCAGGGCAGAGCCTGTAGCAACAGGGCAGACCTCACACAAGCAGGGCGGAGCCTCGGAAGGCAAATAGTGATTAGACTGCCTCCTAGCTGGGCAGGACAGCACAACGAACACTCATAAAGAAAGCCCCAACCCCCCGAGACAGAGCATCTGAGACAAAAAGGGTTCTTTTTATGAGTTCTGCTGCAGCAGAATTAAACGTAGCAGCCTAACAGCCCTGAATGAACAACAGAGCTCACAGCTCAGCAATTGAGCTCCTATAAAGTATAGACTGTCTACTCAAGCAGCTCCCTGACCCCTCTATATCCAGAAGACTGATATTTGGCAGGCATCATTCTGGGACAAAAATAGCAGAAAAAGAAACTGGCAGCATCCCTCACTGTTACACAGCTGCTATAGGTGCACCCCAGACAAGCAGGGCCTGGAGTGGACCTCAGCAGTTGTACAGTGGAGGGGCTAGACTGGTAGAAGGAAAACCAAGTAACAGAAATACTTCATCATCAACAATCTGGGCGTCCACTCAGAGACCCAATCGAAAAGTCAGCAACTACTCAGATGACAGGTGGATAAATCCACAAAGATGGGAAGAAACCAGCGCAAAAAGGAGGAAAACACCTGAAACCAGAACATCTCGCCTCCTAGAAAGGACCAAAACTCCTCACCAGCAAGGGAACAAAGCTGGACGGAGAATGACTGTGACAAAATGATGGAATTAGACTTCAAAAGGTGGATAATGAGAAACTTTTGTGAGCTAAAGGACCATGTTTTAAATCAATGCAAAGACACTAAGAACATTGAAAAAAGATTCAAGGAAATGATAACAAGAATGGATAACTTAGAGAGGAATATGAATGAATTGAAGGAGCTGAAAAACACAACACGAGAACTTCGCGAAGCATGCACAAGTTTCAACAGCCGAATTGACCAAGCAGAAGAAAGAATATCAGAAGTCGAAGATCAACTCAATGAAATAAAATGAGAAACCAAGATTAGAGAAAAAAGCACAAAAAGGAAAGAACAAAGTCTCCAAGAAATGTGGGACTATGTGAAGAGACCTAACCTGCGTTTGATAGGCGTACCAGAATGTGACGAAGAAAATGAATCCAAGCTGGAAAATACTCTTCAGGATAAAATCCAGGAAAATTTCCCCCACCTAGCAAGGCAGGCCAACACTCAAATGCAGGAAATACAGAGAACACCGCAAAGATATTCCGAAAGAAGAGCAACCCCAAGGCACATAATCATCAGATTCACCAGGGTTGAAATGAAGGAAAAAATACTAAGGGCAGCCAGAGAGAAAGGTCGGGTCACCCACAAAGGGAAGCCCATCAGACTCACAGCAGATCTCTCGGCAGAAACCCTACAAGCCAGAAGAGAGTGGGGGCCAATATTCAACATCCTTAAAGAAAAGAACTGTCAACCCAGAATTTCATATCCAGCCAAACTGAGCTTTATAAGTGAAGGAAAAATACAATCCTTTGTGAACAAGCAAGTACTCAGAGATTTTGTCACCACCAGGCCTGCTTTACAAGAGCTCCTCAAAGAGGCACTACACATAGAAAGGATCAATCAGTACCAGCCATTCCAAAATCACACTAAATGCTAAAGAGCATCAACATAATGAAGAATCTACAACAACTAACAGGCAAAACAGCCAGCTAGCATCAAAATGGCAGTATCAAATTCACACATAACAATATTAACCCTAAATGTAAATGGACTAAATGCACCAATCAAAAGACAAAGACTGGCAAATTAAATAAAAAGCCAAAACCCATCAGTGTGCTGTATCCAGGAAACCGATCTCACATGTAAGAATACACAAAGGCTCAAAATAAAGGGATGAAGGAAGATTTACCAAGCAAACGGAGAGCAAAAAAAAAGCAGGAGTTGCAATTCTCATCTCTGATAAAATAGACTTTAAAGCAACAAAGATCAAAAGAGACAAAGAAGGCCATTACATAATGGTAAAAGGATCGATACAACAAGAAAAGCTAACGATCCTAAACATATATGGACCCAATACAGGAGCACCCAGATACATAAGGCAAGTTCTTAATGACTTACAAAGAGACTTAGACTCCCACACAATAATAGTGGGAGACTTTAACACTCCACTGTCAATATTAGACAGATCAACCAGACAGAAAATCAACAAGGATATCCAGGGCTTGAACTCAGACCTGGAACAAGCAAACCTGATAGACATTTACAGAACTCTCCACCCCAAATCCACAGAATATACATTCTTCTCAGCACCACATCACACCTACTCTAAAATTGACCACATAATTGGAAGTAAAGCACTGCTCAGCAAATGCAAAACAACTGAAATCATAACAAACAGCCTCTCAGACCATAGTGCAATCAAGTTAGAACTCAGAATTCAGAAACCAACCCAGAACCACACAGCTTCATGGAAACTGAACAACTGGCTCTTGAATGTTGACTGGGTAAACAATGAAATGAAGGCAGAAATAAAGAAGTTCTTCGAAACCAATGAGAATGAAGACACAACATGCCAGAATCTCTGGGACACATTTAAAGCAGTCTCTACAGGAAAATATATAGCAATAAGTGCCCATATGAGGAGAATGGAGAGATCCAAAATTGACGCCCTATCATCAAAATTGAATGAGCTAGAGGAGCAAGATCAAAAAAACTCAAAACCTAGCAGAAGAAAAGAAATAACAAAGATCAGAACTGAACTGAAGGAGATTGAGACACGAAAAACCCTTCAAAAAAATCAATAAATCCAAGAGCTGGTTTTTTGAAAAGATCAACAAAATAGACAAACCACTAGCCAGACTGATAAAAAAGAAAAGAGAGAACAACCAAATAGATGCAATAAAAAATGACAAAGGGGAAATCACCACAGATTCCACAGAAATTCAAACCATCATCAGAGAATATTACAAACAACTCTATGCACATAAACTAGTAAACCTGGAAGAAATGGATCAATTCCTGGACTCCTGTGTCCTCCCAAGCCTAAACCAGGAGGAAGCTGAAACTATGAATAGACCAATAACAAGGTCAGAAGTCGAGGCAGCAATTAAGAGCCTACCACACAAAAAAAGCCCAGGCCCAGATGGGTTCACAGCCGAATTCTACCAGACACACAAAGAGGAGCTAATACCATTCCTTCTGAAACTATTCCAAATAATCCAAAAGGAGGAAATACTTCCCAAATCATTTTATCAGACCAACATCATCCTGATACCAAAACCCGGCAGAGACCCAACAAGAAAAGAAAACTTCAGGCCAATATCCATGATGAACATAGATGCAAAAATCTTCAATAAAATATTGGCAAGCCGATTGCAACAGCACATCAAAAAACTTATCCATCATGATCAAGTAGGATTCATCCTGGGGATGCAAGGCTGGTTCAAAATACGCAAGTCTATCAAAGTAATTCACCACATAAACAGAACCAAAAACAAAACCACATGATTATCTCAATTGATGCAGAGAAGGCATTTGACAAAATTCAACAGCCCTTTATGCTAAAAACCCTCAATAAACTCGGTATCGATGGAACATATCTCAAAGTAATAAAAGCTATTTATGACAAACCAACAGCAAATATCATATTGAATGGGCAAAAACTGGAAGCATTCCCTTTGAAATCCGGCACTAGACAAGGATGCCGTCTGTCACCACTCCTATTCAATATAGTACTGGAAGTTCTAGCCACAGCAATCAGGCAAGAAAAAGAAATAAAGGGTATTCAAATAGGAAAGGTGGAAGCCAAATTGTCTCTATTTGCAGACTACATGATAGTATACCTAGAAGACCCCATTGCCTCAGCCCAAAAACTCCTGAAACTGATAAGCAACTTCAGCAAAGTTTCAGGATATAAAATCAATGTGCAAAAATCATAAGTGTTCCTCTACACCAATAACAGACTTAAAGAAAGCGAAATTAAGAATGAACTGCCATTCACAATTGCTACAAAAAATAAAATACCTTGGAATACAACTCACAAAAAACGTAAGTGACCTCTTCAAGGAAAACTACAAACCACTGCTCAACGAAATCAGAGAGGACACAAACAGATGGAGAAACATTCCATGTTCATGGTTAGGAAGAATCAATATCGTGAAAATGGCTATACTGCCGAAAGTAATTTACAGAATCAATGCTATCCCCATCAAGCTACCATTGACTTTCTTCACAGAACTGGAAAAAACCACCACGAACTTCATATGGAACCAAAAGAGAGCCCCCATAGCCAAGTCAATTCTCAGTAAAAAGAACACAGCGGGGGGCATCACACTACCGGATTTCAAACTATACTATAAGGCTACAGTAATCAAAACAGCATGGTACTGGTACCAAAACAGAGATATAGACCAATGGAACAAAACAGAGGCATCGGAGGCAACACAACATATCTACAACCATACAATCTTTGATAAACCTGACAAAAACAAGCAATGGGGAAAGGATTCCCTGTTTAATAAATGCTGTTGGGAAAACTGGCTAGCCATGTGCAGAAAGCAGAAACTGGACCCCTTCCTGACACCTTACACTAAAATTAACTCCAGATGGATTAAAGACTTAAACATAAGACCTGGCACCATAAAAACCCTAGAAGGAAATCTAGGCAACACCATCAGGACATAGGAGTAGGCAAGGACTTCATGAACAAAACACCAAAAGCATTGGCAACAAAAGCCAAAATAGACAAATGGGACCTAATGAAACTCCACAGCTTCTGCACAGCAAAAGAAACAGTCACTAGAGTGGATCGGCAACCAACAGAATGGGAAAAAATGTTTGCAGTTTACCCATCTGACAAAGGGCTGATATCCAGAATTTACAAAGAACTCAAACAGATTTACAGGAAAAAAACAAACAAGCCCATTCAAAAATGGGCAAAGGATATGAACAGATACTTTACGAAAGAAGACTTACATGAGGCCAACAATCATATGAAAAAATGCTCATCGTCACTGGTCATTAGAGAGATGCAAATCAAAACCACATTGAGATACCATCTCACGCCAGTTAGAATGGCGATCATTAAAAAATCTGGAGACAACAGATGCTGGAGAGGATGTGGAGAAAAAGGAACACTTTTACACTGTTGGTGGGAGTGTAAATTTGTTCAATCATTATGGAAGATAGTGTGGCGATTCCTCAAGGCCTTAGAAATAGAAATTCCATTTGACCCAGCAATCCCATTACTGGGTATATATCCAAAGGACTATAAATCATTCTACTATAAGGACACATGCACACGAATGTTCATTGCAGCACTGTTTACAATAGCAAAGACCTGGAATCAACCCAAATGCCCACTGATGACAGACTGGAGTGGGAAAATGTGGCACATATACATCATGAAATATTATGCAGCAATCAGAAATGATGAGTTCATGTCGTTTGTAGGGACATGGATGAATGGAGAACATCATTCTCAGCAAACTGACACAAGAACAGAAAATGAAATACCGCATATTCTCACTCATTGGCGGGTGATGAAAAATGAGATCACATGGACACAGGGAGGGGAGTACTAAACACAGGGGTCCACTGGGGGGAAAAGGGGAGGGCCAGCAGAGGGCGGGGAGGTGGGGAGGGATAGCCTGGGGAGAAATGCCAAATGTGGGTGAAGGGGAGAAAGGAAGCAAAACACACTGGCATGTGTGTACCTATGCAACTGTCTTGCATGTTCTGCACATGTACCCCAAAACCTAAAATGCAATAAAAAATTAAAAAAATAAAATAAAATAAAAAGGTATTTGTAAGGATCTTTAAAATATATCTGACACACTAAAATACAAAAAGGTTGGTAATATTTCAATGTTTAAAAAACATATACCCCCAAATCACAGCATGGATTCTCAAATTTTTGGTTGGTATTTATTAAGGAATTAATAAGCTCTGCCATATTCATACATGCTACTCTTTAGTAAGTCTTCCCTTCATTTAAATAATATTTTGGTAAATACATCATACATATATATATATATATGTGAATCTCACAGGATTGCTTTTACCTTTATTTTCTGTTCTTTCTGAAGTTTTTCAGCTTCTAATTCTTTGTCTACGATTGCTTTGGTTCTCTGGACTTCTAAAAGCTGCACTTCTAATAACTTGGCATTAGACTGTAGTGTCTCAATACGAGCCAGGAGATCTTCATTATCAGAATTTAATTTTTCACACTGAAATGACAAATGATTCATTACTATAAACATGCAGAAAATATATACAGCAAAGGAAGAATGAACAGGTACATTAATAAGAGCATTGGCATAATATGAAAAATGAAAATTTCAAAGTCCATGTTACAGAATAATGTTAAATTAAGAGTAAGTTTTAAAAACTGTCATTGCAATACTAATATGGTAAACCTTACGAGAGACCAGATGTGGCAGACCAAAGAGCAGAAATGGAAAACAACCCCCTAAGGAACTGAGATTAGAATAATAAGCAAGATAAGATAGTTGCTATCTGTTTTATCTTATTCTTCTCTCATAAGTGGGGAGGAAGGTAAAGGGAGGGGGAATAAATTCTGTTTCTGACTACACATAGTTTTTATGCAAAAATATTGAGATTCAAATATACCTGCTATAGTTTTCACTTTTGAATTTACTCAAAAATTACCTGCAAAGTTGAATTTCTTAACTGTCTTGAAAGATCTTCAATATGATGCTCAAAATTATTAGCACGTTCTTTTTCCACATCCAGTTGCTCTGACTGCTTATCATATTCTAATAAAAGATTCTTCAATAAAAGAAGGATTTAACTTTGGTATGTTATTATGCATTCAACAGATCAGACTTTATCATCAAAGCATCTTAAGATTCATGAGTCCATTCTAGATGCTTAAAAATATTTACCCAACTTGAACATTTGACAGAACACCTAACTGGCATTAGGTAATAAATTTAGCACATTTTGGATAACTTTTGGTATTGGAGGGTGGGGTAAATACATGAAAGGAGAAGAAGATTTTAAATACACCCAATATAATAGCGCCAAGGTTAAATATTCTACTCATTAACAAAAATGAACTTCTCTGAAATGTAAACACAATTTAAGGATGGAGGATAAAAAGTTTAACCTGGACACCTAACTCCACCTGAAGAATTCTGATAGAAATATCACAGGACTGGTCTAATATAAGGTAAAGGTGTGAACAAAAGAACACTGGAAGACATTCATAGATTTAGTCTCTCTCACACTCTGCGGTGACTTTCAATATTTCCTGAAGAATCTAAAGCCAACTGAAATTTTTTCTTCCTTTTTTTTTTGAGATTGAGTCTTGCTCTGTCGCCCAGGCTGGAGCGCAGTGGTCCAATCCCGCCTCATTGCAGACTCCGCCTCCTGGGTTCCAGTGATTCTCCTGCCTCAGCCTCTGAGTAGCTAGGATTACAGGCACCTGCCACCACGCCTGGGTAATTTTTATATTTTCAGTAGACAGGTTTTCACCATGTTGGCCAGGCTGGCCTTGAACTCATGACCTCATGATCCACCGTCCTGGGCCTCCCAAAGTGCTGGGATTACAGGTGTGAGCCACCACGTCCAGCTGCCAACTGAATTTTCTTTGATATTCCTAGTTGGCCTACTCAAGGAGAGAATGACCACACACAAGCTAATCAGATTATCCACCAAAACATGAAAATGAGATTCAGTTTAGAGACTGTATGTAGTTTTTTATGTTTTTCTCTCTTATCCCTTATAAATTCTGTTTTTGCCTTTGTTTCTGGAAAACTCACTGTTCTTCCCGTAAAGGTGAATATAAAATTACTAGCAAAATAGTGTTTTTTAAAAAAATTCTTAACCTTTAAGTTTATGGGTACATATGCAGTTTATATAGGCAAACTTGTGTCACAGGGGTTTGTTGTACAGATTATTTCATCATCCAAGTATTAAGCCTAGTACTCATTAGTTATTTTTCCTGATCCTCTCCCTCCTCCTACCCCTCCACCCTCTGATGGGCATCAGTGTCTTGTTCTTCTTTATGTGTCCACGTGCTCTCATCATTTAGCTCCTACCTATAAGTGAGAACATGTGTACTTAATTTTCTGTTCTTGCATTAGTTTGCTAAGGATAGCGGCTTCCAGCTTCATCGATATCCTTGCAAAGGAAACGATTCTCATTATTTTTTTTTTTTGAGACGGAGTTTCGCCGTTGTTACCCAAACTGAAGTGCAATGGCGCTATCTTGGCTCACCACAACCTCTGCCTTCTGGGTTCAAGCAATTCTCCTGTCTCAGCCTCCCGAGTAGCTGGGACTACAGGCGTGCACCACCATGCCCAGCTAATTTTTGTATTTTCTGTAGAGACGGGGTTTCACCTCATTGACCAGGATGGTCTCGATCTCTTGACCTCGTGACCCACCCGCCTCGGCCTCCCAAAGTGCTGGGATTATAGGCGTGAACCACTGCGCCCGGCCGATTCTCATTACTTTTTAAGGCTGTGTAGTATTCCATGGTGATACATATGCCAATTTTCTTTATCCAGTTTACCACTGACAGGCCTTTAGGTTGATTCTGTGTCTTTGCTATCATGACTAATGCTACAGTAAACATACATGTGCATATGTCTTTATGACAGAGTGACCTATATTCCTTTGGGTATACACCCAGTAACAGGATTGCTGGGTCGAATGGTATTTCTGTTTTTAGGGCTTTGAGGAATTGCCACACTGTTTTCCACAATGGCTGAACTAATTTACACTCCCACCAAAAGTGTGTAAGTGTTCCTTTTTCTCTACAACCTCGCCAGCACCTGTTATTTTTTTGACTTTTTAGCAGTAGCCATTATGACTGATGTGAGGTGGTATCTGATTGTGGTTTTGTTGCTAGTTTCTTGCAACGTTTATCTTTGGAAGTTCCACTGAGATACTATGCATAAATAAGAGAGACATTAACCAAGAGGACAGTGAAGCCTGTCAGTGGCCTTCCTCTGGACCTGGACCTCTCATGTCTTGACTAATCTCTGCAGGCTTCTGTGGTGTTTTTTTTGTTTTGAGACTTGAGTCTCACTGTGTTGCCCAGGCTGGAGTGCAGTGGTGCAATCTTGGCTCACTGAAGCCTCTGCCTCCCAGGTTCATGATTCTCCTGTCTCAGCCTCCCAGGTGTGGCTGGGATTATACGTATGTGCCACAACGCCCAGCTAATTTTTGTATTTTTAGTAGTGACTGGGTTTCACCAGGTTGGCCAAGCTGATCTTAGGTGATACCACTTGCCTCAGCCTCCCAAAGTACTGGTATTACAGGTGTGAGGCACTGTGCCAGGGCTATGCTCTTTTGGATTGTGCTTGCCAAATCTTTTTTTTGAGACAGGATCTTGTTATATTGCCCAGGCTGAAGTGGAGTGAACTCAGGTCACTGTAACCTCTGTCTCCTGGGTTCAAGTGATTCTCCTCCCTTAGCCTCCCAAGTAGCTGGGACTATAGATGTGTGCCACCACGGCGAGCTAATATTTGTAGTTTTAGTACAGACAGGGTTTTGTCACGTTGCCAAGGCTGCTCTCGAACTCCTGAGCTTAGGCAATCTAACCTCCTAGGTCTCCCAAAATGCTAGGATAACAGGCGTGAGCCACAATGCCCAGCTCTTGCTTGCCAGATCTGATCCTTGACTAATGTACTTTTGTTTCTAATTTTGATTTATACATGGTCAATTATTTGGCTCAACTGGTGGCTAACTCAAAATCTGAAATTTTGATTTTATAGTCTGTTCATTTAGTGATTTCAGTGGCAGAAGACAGGACTTAGGAATCTAGAATATGGCTTACATTTTTGTTTTTCTGTTTATTTATCTGAGTCTGCTACTTCCTGGCACACATGAATACAGGGTTGAGGTATCACTAGGGGCCTTGTCTTTTCCACAGAAAGAAGACTCTGTGATTGTTTTGTATTTGGGTAAGTTCCTCTAAAAATCAGAGATATTTATCCTCTTAGTCTCTATCTGGCCTTCTTCATTTTTATTCATTCTGATTCCAGTTGCTGTCAATAGCTATAAAAACTGAATTGCTATGCCAAGGCTGATTCTAGTAAATAATGGCTGCCTAAGGGAAATTCTGATTTTAATCAAGTATTATTCCTAAGGTGAGTCTTGGAACAAAAACGAATGCCATGCATACAAGAGTCTACTTTCTTTATGTAGGGAAGAAACTTCTAAACATCTAAATTATTACAAATTATTGTCCCTCCAGGACACCTATGTGTTCAGAGCTTTTAATAAACTAAAACAAGTTATTATAAGTGATATGAACTGAAAAAACTAGCCAAATCAACAAACTACAAAATTACTCAGTATCTTTAGAATGATGTACCCTGAAGAAGCTAATAGAGCTTAGTTACATGTGTTTTTAAAAATGATCAACATTTTTAAACATTTCAGCCCCTCTGGTTCTACCTTAAATCCTGTCATATTTTTATACATTAGTTTATATTACATATGAAAATATGGTAATGAAATTTGAAAACTTAAATTTCCATATAAAATGATGACAAAGAATGAGTATGCTTATAAAGATCTTACAAATCCATTAAAACACACATTTTAAATTGATATACGGGCTTCTTCATAAGAGCAAATTACATGAGGAACTTCCTTCTTTACATTTTAAGAGGCCCTTTAATCTATTAATTCCTTCCAGAGGTAGACTAGGCATATCAATTTCAAATAGTTAAATCTATCAAACTTTTCCTTTGTAATTCACTAAAATACTTTAGGTAGGAGTGCAGTGGTATAATCTCTGCTTACTGCAACTGCCACCTCCCAGGTTCAAGTGATTCTCGTGCCTCAGCCTCCAGAGTAGCTAGGACTACAGGCGTGTGCCACCATGCCCAGCTAAATTTTGCATGCTAAGGCAGGGTTTTGCCTTGTTGGACAGGCTGATCTCAAGCTCCTGGCCCCAAGTGACTCACCTACCTCAGTCTCTCAAAGTGCTAGAATTACAGGCGTGAGCCACTGCACCCAGCCTAAACTGTTTTAGGTATTTAAAGTCTAAAAAAGCCTTTTGTAACCAGAAGTCAGTTAAAGAATCAATATTTCATTTTAGGTTTTTAAAAAATATTTTTCACAAAATTTTTTAATCCATCCAGAATATATTTTGGTATGTGAAGTAAAATAGGAACCTAATTCCTTAGAAGGAATTTCTTTCTTCATTGGTTCTGGTTTCAGATTTTACTGGGATAGTATAGCTTAGTTGATGGAACAATAGATCTGCAACCACCTGAATTCAAATTACAGCTCTGCTCTGTTACTTGTTCTGTGACCCTGAGGTCTCTTAAGAAATTTGAGTCTGTGACTTTGAGGTCCTTAACCTCTTTATGCCTCAGAGCCCTCACTTGTAAAGTGTTGATGCTAATATACTTTGAGGTTGTTTTGAGAATTAAGTGTATTGAGATGTGTAAAGTGCTTAGAAGAGAGCCTGGCAACTATTTGTCGTTCTGCAGAAGTATCTATATCTTCTGCTCCATTAATTTGTACCATTCTTACATCAGAATTCTATCACATTACTGTAACGTGGGAAGTTTTAGCATCTGAGTAGGATGTCACTTTTTTCATTTTCAAAAAACTTAACTGTTCGTGCTAGTTTATTTTTTACTTAAAACTAAGAATAACTGTCAAGATCCAACCAAAAAAAAATTCTAAAATTTTTAATGAAATTGTTTTAGAATTTATAAACCAATCTGAGAACTAATGGTTCAAATAATATTCAGTAATCCTACATAAGTTTTGCAGTTTTCGTCATTAAGTGCCAAAACTTATCATTTAAGTGCTTCCTAAGATCGGATTTTATGGCTGCTGTGGAATTCTCTTTTTTTTCATAAAATCCAGCCTGATTATGGCTCATTACCCACCTTACCTTTCTACATAGTATGTATCTTTTATTTTTGTCCGTTACTGCTACTGGAGTTTTTAAGTCCTAAGAGGATACGAACTAAGGATAGGAACTTGATCCCCACCTGCCCTAGAACTCAGAACTTAGTCTGTCTTATAAATATTTGCTGAAAGAACGAGTACCTGAAGAAATGTAGTGTTTATTTTGCATTTAGTGATTTTGTTGTACTTTTTTAATTCTTGTAGTTTTCATAATACATTTTTATGTTATTAAGGCAAACAAGTACATTACCTCCAAATAACAACACTTCACCTTGTTTAAGCTTCAGGTTTATTCATTTGGCCAGAACAATATTAAATAATTACAGTAGTAATAGCTGTCTTTTTGTTACTAATTTTATTAGGAAATCCAAAAACAAAATTTTATTTTTAGAAGCAATAGTTTAAAGGCACTATTTAGGCCAGGCACGAAGGTGCATGCCTGTAATCCTAGCACTTTGGGAAGCCGAGGTGGGCGGATCATAAGGTCAGGAGTTCGAGACCAGCCTGGCCAGCACGGTGAAACCCTGTCTCCACTAAAAATACAAAAATTAGCTGGGCATGGTGTGCCTGTAGCTCCAGCTACTTGGGAGGCTGAGGCAGGAGAACCGCTTGAACCCAGGAGGTAGAGGTTGCAGTGAGCCAAGATCGCACCACTGCACTCCAACCTGGGCAACAGAGGGAGACACTGTCTCAAAAAGAAAAGAAAAAAGGCACTATTTAAAACTTAACACTTTAAAATCTTGTTATTAGGATTGTACTACAGTCCAACAACAACAACAAAAAAAACCAAAACAAAAAATATTTACTAAAAAATACAAGGTGATTGTTTTATGGACAATATTTTACATTTCCAGTACATTTCTTAACTTAGAAGTTACGATTAGAACTTGGTATTAAAATGACTATTTTTACCTTATAGCTTTCTGCTCCTTGAATGAGATCTTTCATGGAAGCAGATAACTGGTCCTTTTCTGAGAGGACAGATTCAAGTTCTTCCCTTAGAGTCTGGGTCTGTTTTAAATACAAAGTAAAATTAAAGAGTTTTTTTTTTTGTTTTGTTTTTGGGAGGGTGGGTCTGTTTTGAATACAAAGTAAAACTTAAGAGATTTTTTTGTTTGTTTTTTTAATGGATAGAAAATCTCATGGGTTTTTAAAATATAAGATTCCTGAATCTTACATTTTTAAGTCAGCTCACCTCTTTTCTGCTGGAATCTAGTTCTTTCTTTGCCTTCACAGCAACTAATTTTATCTTATTTATTTTCTCTTCCTTTTCTTTACAATCTTTTTCGAGATTTTCTAAAAATAGAAAATAAATGGATTATATATGAACTCAAAAGGAAAAAAAATTCAAATTACTTATTTTAGCCCTAGAAATAGATTATCTGGGAACACAAAATTGGTAATTTGATATTAAAATAAGCATCAAAACATTAATATTTTTAAAAGTAAACATTATGTGAGGCAAACAATGTAAAAAGTTTCCATTGTCTTTAATCCTCCAAAATAGTCTAGTTTTTTCTAGCCATTTTATAAGTTTCTAGGAATTGGAGAGGCTTTTAGGACTTCTCATTAGATTTCCTGGAATTGCAGTTATGCTAGGACTTTGACAGTGTGCAAATTAGGATCAAGTACTGGAGATACCAGATAAAGATAAACATTTATGCTCCATAGGTGCACTCCTCCTCTTGGCTGGTGGGTCTGATTTGCATGACTAAACCTGTAGTATGTTTTACCTAACCAACATTGATCTCTCCTTTAACTTCTTTAGCTACCTGCCCTATTTGAACTCCACAGTTCAGGACTTCTTGATATTGGTTTCCAAAAATTCAGTTATGATCTGAATTTCTGTCCTGGCAGTTGTGCCTTCCCTCTGGCTGCCACAGTGAGGTGCCTGTGTGTGAAGCAAATGCCAATCGTACCACATCTGCATTTCATCCTACGTCTCCTGACCTACTCAAGCATCAGAACAACAATTCTCCCTCCTCCTTCTGCAGCAATAATTTTCCCCTTTCTAGTGGATTTTTTTCCAAAGTTTATAAACAGGGAACAAAAATTATCAAGAAATTAAGGCCAGGAACAAATAGAGAAAGCAGTTAAAGAAAGTAGGGGACAGGTGAAACATCTCAAACATGCTGTTACTCTTCCCATAAAAAAATTTAAAAAATTAAACCACACTGCCCCTCTAGATTTTGTCCCATCTCTTTTTGTCCCCCTATAGCAATCCCCTTGAAAGAGTTGTCTATATATGCTCTCAAACATTGCCTTCCTCATTTTTTTTTTTTCTAGAACCAACTGCTATCAAGCTCTGGTTCCAGCATGTCATGGAAACTGACCTTTACGTTGCTTAAGGCTGGTCAGTTCTCAGTACTCATCTTATTTGATACATCAGCAGCACTAGCAATGGCTAACCACTTTTTCCCTCTTGAAGCACTTCTTTCACTTCCACGTTACTTGCCTTAAGCTTTTAAGACATGTTATATTCCAGGTTTTCTTAGCTTATCGGCTGCTCCTTCTCAATTTCTGTGTTGACTCTGTCTTTACATGAATGGAGCACTGTCTTTGGTCTCCGTTTTTTTGCTATATACTCCCTTGGTGATTTCAATCCCCTGACTTTTAATGCCTGCTGTTTACAAATATTTATCTGTAGCCTAGCTCTCTCCTTTCAACCCCAGATTTGCATAGCATTCTGACATCTGTACTTGAACTGGTAATTAAACTTAATTTTTCTAAAACTGAACATCCCAATCTGCCCCAATTACCCATTAGACAACTGGGAGTCATTCTAAACTCTTCAACTTCCCTTACCCTAATCTAATAGGGGAGTAAATTGAGGGATCATCGGCACTTTACATACTTCTAAGTCTTCATTTCCTGATCCTTACATGGGGATAAAAGAGCTATCCCATAATGTTACTATGAGGAATAAATGGATAAGATAAAGTCCTAACTCCTCTGCATATCAATTATACTAGTGTGTTTATGATCAGGCTCCTACCTTTCCAGGAACTTCCTCGTATGCGCCTTGATATATGTTATATGTAAAACATACAAGCATCTGTTCTTCCTTCTTACTAGAATACGTTTCTTCCTGTGTAAAATTTCTCATTCTTCGAGACTCAACTGAAAACCCTATTCTATGCTGCTTTTCCTAACTCAAAATAAGTAAGTTCCTATGCTGTCCATACTGTATCTTGTCCATACCTCAAACTACTGTAATTACAGTGAGATCTTTAAGCAGTACCTCAACCACTTTTCTATCACCACTGTCTAGAATAGTTGGGCATTTAAATAAAGTTTGCTAAATGAATGAAAAATTCAAAATAAACCAGGAAACCATTTATAAATGAAATCACACCAGTCTTGCTTGGGTTAAACGACAGAAAGTAACACTTTTGAAAGAGAAGGCAAACAGATGTCAGAGGGGGCAAGAAAGTGAGCTTGAGGCAAAGACCTACTTACTGTATTTTTTACAACTCATTATTTGGCTATAGTATTTCCCAGCCTATTCTAAAGCTAATAATAATCTGTCTAATTAATTGTGTCAACATATGTAGAATCATAGTTACCTATTTTTTCTTCCAGCTCTTTTACTGAAGACAAAGAATCATTTTTTACAGAAGGTGATACTGCTAAGGAATCCTAGATTTTATAGGGGGAAAAAAACACAAAATAAAAACCAGAATCAGAATTGATTTTCCATGATGAACTGGCCATCATGTTAAGCATAAGATAATCATTATCAAAGAGAATTCCTACAAAAAGCAATTTGGTCAACAGATTATCCCTTGTTAGACCAGAAAATTAATACTGACCTTACCATGCATATGGCATTTACTATTAAAAAAAAAAAAAAAAAAGCAGTAGCCAAGGCCAAGATAAACAACTTGATCCATCAAATACATATGTAATAAAAGATAAAATCATTTTTTAGTCTTTAACTTTAAAGAAAAACCCTAAAATTTTAGCAATACCACCATAGCTCTTTTGCTTAAAAGTGCTCTTTACAAAAGATAACTAAGTATATCACACAAGAATGAAATTCAAGTTTTTTCATGTTTAGTTGTAGTTTTGCTAGCGACTAATATACTTTTGACCAAGACATTTAAACCCCTAATCATTTAATCTTCTATAAATTCAAGATTTAAAAATTATCTAAAACCTCCCATAAATGAATGTAATAAACTGGACATACAACATGAAAATGTTTAATGCACTTTTCAGAAAGTTGTCGTTTGAGCTTAAATGGTAAAAATTTACTTTTAATGTCAAGTTGTAAAAATGTTTAATGTATATATTTTGGAATCAAACTAAGAATTAATTTGAAATAATAAAATTCAAATGAATAGTACCTTTAATAGTATCAACTCTGCTCTCATATCTTGTAATTCTGATTCTTTTTGTTCTAGTAATGGCTTTAGATTTTCATGTTCCTTTATAAAACATTTTTCTTTTTCATTGTGGATTTCATTTTTGCTGTATGTTTGAGATACTTCCTCAACTTTAATTAAAAGATTCTGATTTTCAAGCCTTATTTCTTCATTAACATTCTTCATTTCTAGAAGATCAGATTGCAGGGCCTCTTTTTCTGACTGGATTTCTTCTAACTCTTTCCTTAAGAGAACTTTCTCTTGTTCATAGTCTCTCAATAAAGAGTTAAGTTCTTCACATTGAACTATACTCTCCTCCTGAAGGCACTTAATCTCTTTTTCTAACTCTAATACCCTTTCATCACATTGAAAAACCAGGTTGTGTTTTTCCTCATTTATTTTTGCTAAGGATTCACCGACTGCCTGTAGGATATTAACAACATCTTTTCCTTCACTGTCTTCTGAAACTTCTGACCCCATTTCTTTAAGAAAACCATACAACTGAGTTTTGACAAATAACTTCTGAACTTCCTCATTTTCAAGCAGTTTATTTAAATTATCTCGCTCTTCAACTATTAACTGAAGTTGCTTTTCTAATTCAGTAATATGTTCTCTAAGGAAAACATCTTCTTTTTGAGACAAAAAAACTTCCAAATCCTTACTCAACTGTTTTTTTTCTGAACTCAGTTTATTGTTTTCCTCATAAAGAGACTTCACTTCAGCTGACAGTGATTCTTTGTCTTCAGAGAGAATTTTCATTTGAACCACAAGTTTTTCTACGTTTTGGTCATTTTGATCCTTTTCTTTTAAAGTCTCCTCTAGTCCTCCTGTTAATTCATTTACCTTTTGCTCTAGTTTACTGTTGTACTGGGTTGTTCGTTCTATTTTCTTCTCAAGTTCAATAATCAATCTTTCTTCCCTTTCACACTTTTTATGTAGACTATCCATTTCTTCATAAGAATTTTTTAGTTTATTTATGAAATCATCTTTTTCCTCAGTAAGAGAACTTATCTTTGCTTCTAATTCTTGTAACATGGTATCTCTTTGACTGAGACTAAGTAAATATACTTCATTCTTTTCTTGAAGGTTCTTTATGGCATTTTCAAGTTCTGGTACCAATTCTTGTTGAGAGAGCAACTTTTCATTTTCTCCCTGGAGGTGATTCACAGTTTCAAGAAGGGCATCTTTTTCTGTAAAAGCAGTTCTGAGCCTCTGCTGCAGTTCATGAACATCAGATGCTTGCTGTTGCTTCATTGACTCAAACTCTTGACTTATTTTTCCAGCAGATTCCCCCAGTTCTGTTTGTAAAATTTCCATAATCTCTCGCAAACTCTCATAATTTAAAATTGCTTCTTGCTTTTCTTGCTGTAGCTTTTCACACTGTTCTTTAAGACCTTGTACTTCAAACATTAATGTTAATTTTTCTTTTTCTGAATCTGACAAAAATGTCTCATTTAGTTCTGATATTTCTTTTTGATGTTGTTCCTTAAGACTCTGTATCTCTTTGTTATGCTGTTCTACGGTACAGCAAAACTGTTTATTTAAACCCGCTAGCTCAGACTTTAATTTTTCAACTATACAGCCCTGTTCTTCTTTAGCTAGTAATAATTCATTAATTTTAAACTCTAAGTCTTCCCGCTCATGAAAAAATTCATCCTTTATATGTTGAGCATCCATTTCAAGTTTTAACTTAAGATTATTCATATAAGTTACCTCGTCTTTTAAGATACTATGTTGGGATTCAAGTTCTTTTAACGTATCTTCTAAGTGTTTGACTTTTTCATTTACTACTTCTTCTACAAACGTATTTTCTTGTAAGAGACTAGAACACATCTGACTGTCTTGGTTTGCATTTGAGGTGGCTTTCCTTAAATTTTCTAACTCATATTCATATTTCTCCTGAATGTTCTTTTCACTTGCCTCCCATTGTTTTACTAAATTCTCTTTTAACTCATTCAACTTATTTATCTCTGCTTCATGTTCCTTAGCTGAAGCTTCAATCTGGCACACCAATTCTTTCACCTCGTTTTGGTGCATGGCTTTCAACTGTAAAAGCTCTTCCTGCAAACTATTAATATTTTTTTGGTAATGTTGAGAATTAGCCTCAATAATATTTTGGAGTTGAGTAACTATTTCCTTCTTTTCATCAGTGGTAGTGTCTAATTGCTTTTGCAGATATAAAATTTGCTCCTCAAGGGCTGGCCTAATTTTTTCAATCTCTTCTTGTAGCTTTTTAACATTATCTTCAGAGCTGTTCTGAAATTTAAGTTGTTCTGAAAGCTCTAATTGTTTATTCATTGCTTCTTCCAGTTCCTTTTGTAAGTTATCTTTGTCTTCACTGTATTTGGAATGTAGTGCCATCAATTCATTTTTCAAATTTTCAATTTCTTTCACATAGTTTCTATGTGATTGTTTCAACTCCTTATGGGCATCTTCAATTTTAGTTACAGAATCCTATTACAAAAAATAAGCACACATAAATTCTTCAAGTAAGACAAAAGAAGCCTCTGCCCTTAGTAAAAAGTTTAGCCACAGCTAAGTAGAAAGAGAAGTAAACGAGCAGAAATATACTTAGAGAAATATGATACTGATATTCCAGTAATTCTCCTTAGGCTCTGCCTATCTAAAGTATGACAGTATATATCTACAATATTAAATCTATTACTCAAATTAGCCTAGACCTAAGAGGCAAGACATAGAAACATGCCTCCAAATATATCCTAGAACTAAAGAGAAAATGCTGTTTAGTCATGTGTGAAAATCAACTTCTTTTCACTTTTATTGAAGAATGGCATTATTACTATAAAAAAGATAATGCAACAAGTAAATGTTACCTCTATCGCTGTATAGTTAAGATGATTTCAGGTTTTTTTTTTTTAAAAATCTCAATGTCTGCTTCTTCGTTCATATTATAAAATGTTAATCAGATTAGGTGCTTTTTAAAGTCTTAGCTCTAAAACTAATGACTACAGTATACAAGTTAATAAAATAGCAAAGAATACTACAATACCGACTTACCTCAACCTCTTGCTTCATTTTAATATTTTCCTTTTTCAGAGAAAGACACTGTTGCTCAATCTCTGCTTTTTCCAAAAGAATAGCATCCAGACGTTCAGTCAATGCCTATTTTAGAACAGGATTTATTTGTCTGGGGTTAAAAAACTGGTGGATTGACCACATGCATAATTATCTCCTGACCTTTTCAAAACACACTAAAATGAGAATAAAAGATTTTAAAAGGTAGAACATATTGAGCAAAGAGAAAAGGAGAAAAGCTATAAGGATAAGAGAAATTTCAACACATTTTTGGAAAACTTAATTATGGAGGAGGATGAACTGAATTAGAAGCAGGAAGAAAGCTATAATCTAAGTACCTGCATAAGGAAACACATATGAGAACCTGGCAAATATTCTGCAGAACTGAAACGCTCAGAATTGGAGGCACCAGATATTGTTGAGGAAGTTGTAACGTGTGGGGCTCAAAAATTGAGGATTGGTCAACAATCTGAATAGGGACCAGTCAGAGAGTAAGCAAGAAATAACCTATGTCCTTCCTTCCTCAAAGACAGATTATTCTCTGCAGAAATTAAACAAAAGAGGAAGTTAATGAGATGGGAAAAAAAATCAACAAGCCAAGAGTCAGCTCTTTTAAAGCAGCTGTCAAAATAAACATTGTTTAGTAAAACTGATGAAGAGACATTAAGTTCCAAAAAATAATACAATGAAAAAGGAAGCACATCTATATAAGTGAGGCATAGAGTGACTCATGCCTGTAATTCCAGCACTTTGGGAGGCCAAGGTGGGCAGATCACGAGGTCAGGAGATTAAGACCATCCTGGCCAACATGATGAAACCCAGTCTTTACTAAAAATACAAAAATTTGCTGGGCATGGTGGTGCCCACCTGTAGTCCCAGCTACTCAGGAGGCTGAGGCAGGAGAACCGCTTGAACCCAGGAGATGGAGGTTGCAGTGAGCCAAGATAGCGCCACTTGCACTCCTTGCATGACAGAGTGAGACTTGATCTCAAAAAAAAAAAAAAAGAAAAAGTTCAGAAACAAACACAAACATGTTTTTAACTATAATACTAGATGAGTGGAGAAAGACTATTCAATAATTAAGGTTGAAAATAGTTGATATTAAAAAAGATGTCATACCATATTATAAAGAAACAAACTCCATATGGATTAAGATTTGTCAAAAACAAAGCTTTAAATTCTTAGAAACATATACCATGAGCTGAGAGGTTTTTACCACACACATAAACAACCAAATAAATGTTTATATAAATTATATATTTAAAAAAATTCTACAAACCAGTAGGAAACCCATTGGCCCATTAAGAAAATGGATATTGGCTGGGCACAGTGGCTCATGCCTGTAATCCTTGCACTTTGGGAGGCCGAGGTGGGTGGATCACCTGAGGTCAGGAGTTCGAGTCCAGCCTGGCCATCATGGTGAAATCCCATCTTTAAAAAAAATCATAATAATAAAATAATAAAATAATTTATAAAAGAAAAGAAAATGGATGTTATATACAAAAAGAATACTTTCAATCCAGAACACAATGATCTATCATTTTACACCAATTTGACTGGTAAAAATAAAAATGCATGACAATACCTAGTGCTGGAGAGGATATGGATCCACAGTATCCTTTGTACATTGCTGATGGAAGTTATTTTGAATACCTGATAGTGGTTTGGCACTATCTCCTGAGGCTGAACCTTCACGTAACTTTTGATGCAAAGATTCCACCTATTTACTTATAAGAATCCTTTGCACATTTATAAAGGAGATGTATAAAAGAAGGTTCATTGTGCTTGTACTCCATCGCATAAGCCTGGGCATAATCCTAACATCCACGTCTAGTTCTGAATGAACTGTGTTATTGTAACACAATGTAATACTCTATAGCAGCCATGGTGACATGCAATGATACAGATGAGCTTTAGAAAAACAGTAAGTGCAAAAAGTTCTAATACATTACAAACAACATACCTTTTCAGTACAGCGAAAAACTAAAATAAAAAAATTATAAAATGATACTTATAAATGCAGTAAAACTATTAAAGGAAAGGAAAAGCAATGATGAACATAGGATTATCGTTACCTGGGGTGTGGGAAACTAGGGGGGTGGAGTATCAAGGGTGTGAGGGTTACAGTGGAAGATGTCTATTATTTTTAAGATCTTAGCTTTTTGGCGGGTTGACATGTGATCTTATCACAAATAATTAAATTAAAAGGAAATGAAGACAATGCAAAGGAGGCAGAAGTAAACTCCAAGACAGTATGAATTTATTAGCTCAGAAAGATTACAGAACTTGTTGAATCTTTAGATGAGATGAAAACAGAATTCATACATCAAGAATGAGCTCTTTTAAATGTTTAATATCAGAATAGAAATTTTAATGCAACGATAAAAAAATTAAAAGTAGATGACATTTCTTCTTAGACAAAAGGAAAAACTCTATTAAAGATAAAAATCTATTTGAGCATTCCAGAAAGTTTCGAGGCATACTCTAGAGACCGCCTCCCTTCAACTTCTATAATCAACATGTTCTTTCTTGGCTGCTGCTTCTACAGACAGTATAAAAGCTAAAACCTAAAACCCCTGATTTCTGAGATCAACAGGATGAGGGCGCAGGAGCACAGAGATGAAGAGTGTCTGGGTCCTGATGACATCACTGGGAGACTGCAACAGCCTGAGAACTGCTATGCTATGTCTAAACCTCTTAGATGAAATAACACTAATTTAAAAACTTCATTATTTAAAAAAACAAAAACAAAACATTTAGAAAAATTTAGAGTACTGTATCAATTTATAGCTATATTTCAAACATGACAGTAGAATAAAGGAATGTTTAAACACAAGACAACACAAAAATTTACCTCCATGAATTCATTCTTAGGAAGCTACAGAAGGATATGCTCTACCAAAATAAGATGGTTAACCCAGTGAATGACATGTGACCTAGCAAAGAGCAGGGAGCCAATGTAGGTAAGCAGTGAAGAAATTCATAAGATCGTCACAAAAGGCCCGGCCAAAAGTACAGAAGACAGAAGGCTTTAGAAGGCAGGTACCAGGAATCAGAGATTATTTGATCTGTTTGATCATTTGGAAAGCTGAAGGGGTCATGAAAGACAGCTAGATTTTCATCTGTTGTAACAGGACGTTAACGAATGTCTAACACTGATAAATCAGGTAATAGCAGTATAAGCATATTATTTACAAATATAGAGATGATTTTCAGAAGTTATTTGGTATTGTAAGTTATTTAGAATTTAGATTTATTTAAATATTATGTGCATATGACTGGATAAAACAACCTGAATTTTGAAATTAGTTTTTCACATTATATGTAAGTATTGCAATATAAACTTCTGATTGGTAAGTATCAGAAGTCTATGTAAATTAATTTTAGGAGATCTATATATACAGGCCAAATGCAAACAGCTATTAAAAAAACCTTAACTATCAGAAACACAGAATGGACAATATTTCTTATGAAATACAAATCTGATTTCAGGTTAAAAGAGAAATTGACAACAGTGATATGGACTAGAAATTCAAGTGTCTTAACATGCAATTTTTTTAATGCCTCTTGCATTTAGAAGCAGCATAAAAATTAACTGTAATACTGTGCACCTCAAATTCTGACATGCGAAATAGGTTTCTTAGTCCTTATTTAAAAGTCAAATGTGTGAGGTTTGCAATGAAACTAGATTGTATTTTAATGCAATAGAAGATGTCTACCAGAAATTTTAATCATAATTTAAACTTGTAAGGACATATGTTTTAACATGTTATAAAAAGAACAGAAAAGTTTATATTAAAAGCTATAGATTTTTCCAGTGTGTTTTCCCAAAAAAGTGATATAACTTAGCAAGAGGGGAGAGGATCCAAGACGGCCGAATAGAAACATCTCTGGATTTCAGTTCCCAGGGAAAATGCAGAGGGTGAGTGATTCCTGCATTTCCAAACGAATTTTTACTACCCACAGACCAGGAGATTCCCGGGTGCAAACGCACCACGAGTCTTCAGCACAGCTGTTTCAGCTGGCGTAGCAGGTCTCCACACAAAAACTCACACAAATCCGGACGCCGTTTCAACTGGCGACTGGAACGCCTGGGAGACAGAGTCGCCGGTTCAACTGAAAAAAAGGGGGCTGAAACAGGGAGCCAGGTGATCTGGCTCGGCTGGTCTCACCCCCACAGAGACCAGCAATCTGAAACACTCTAGACTGAGAGTTTCACCTAATCTACGTTTGATAGGTGTGCCTGAATGTGATGGAAAGAATGATCTAAGCTGGAAAACACTCTTCAGGACATTATCCAGGAGAACATCCCCAATCTAGCAAGGTAGGCCAACATTCAAGTCCAGGAAATACAGAGAACACCACAGATATATTCCTCAAGAAGAGCAACTCCAAGTCACATAATTGTCAGATTCAACAGGGATGAAATGAAGGAAAAAATGCTAAGGGTAGCCAGAGAGAAAGGTTGGGTCACCCACAAAGGGAAGGCCATCAAACTCACAGCAGATCTTTCAGCAGAAACCCTACAAGCCAGAAAAGAGTGGAGGCCAAGATTCAACATCCTTAAAAAAAGTAACTTTCAGCCAGAGCAATCAGACAAGAAAAAGAAATAAAGGGTATTCAAATAGGAAAGGAGGAAGCCAAATTGTCTCTATTTACAGACGACATGATAGTATATTTAGAAGACCCCATCATCTCAGCCCAAAATCTCCTGAAACTGATAAGCAACTTCAGCAAAGTCTCAGGATACAAAATCAATGTGCAAAAATCACAAGCATTCTTATATACCAATAACAGACTCAAAGAAAGCCAAATCAAGAATGAACTGCCATTTACAATAGCTACAAAGAGGATAAAATATCTAGGAATAGAACTAACAAGGAATGTAAAGAACCTCTTCAAGGAGAACTACAAACCACTGCTCAACGAAATAAGAGAGGACACAAACAGATGGAGAAACATTCCATATTCATGGTTAGGAAGAATCAATATTGTGATAACGGCCATACTGCCCAAAGTAATTTACAGAATCAACGCTATCCCCATCAAGCTACCAATGACCTTCTTCACAGAACTGGAAAAAACTA